TCTGCCTATTGTAGGTCTTTCTTTAGGCCTGAAATGTTATCTAAATTATTAATTGGGCATTAATTAACCTCTCAGGACCATAATCAACTCTAGATGGCATATACTGCATAACTTTCCTTCACGATTTAACGATTAAATGGATAATCAAGACCATGCTGTTTATCGTATTGACTTTAGTAATGATGATCGAGGCGAGGCCGAAATTTCAATCGCTTAATTCTCGGTTCATAGTGGATCAATTTGACTGAAATTTTACATTATCTAGTTTTTAACTATTATAGTGAGAACTGCCAGCCCTTTATCTTATCTCACATAATGTATCTTTAAATTTTAAATTCTTTGAAATACATATTTATTAAAATACTTAATTTTATGAACAAAGACTATACATGTAAATCTATAAAGTATTTATTATATATGTTAATGTTAAATTCTTTGAAATACATATAATTATTATAATACTAGAACACAAAATATAATTTTAAATTCTTTGAAATACCGTACATATAATTATTATAATACCTAATTAAATTTTATGGCTTGCAGATTGACTGACACTGACAGTTAAAGCGAGAATTTCAAATTTTCTAAGAAAGTCAAAACATAATTATTTCTATGTCTTTTGCTCAATAGGTTATCAAATCACTATTATACAATCATGGGCATTATTTCCCACCCTTAAAAATCTATGACACAGGAAATAACACAATTACCTCCCCTGTTTTGCTATAGACAACATGGGGCAGTCATTTCCCAACGTTGGAATTTGAAGTTAAAAATGATATTTTTGCCAATTTCTCAGCTGGCAATAGCGAATTATAGGATTATTCTTTAACAAGGTAGGACTGTTTATGGATACCATCTATTTTAAGGCTTTATTTTAATACATGTACATTTTAAAAATATACATGTAACTTGAAAATTTGCAATTGCAACTTTAAATTCTCCAGTAGTGGGTTAGTTTCAATTTTCAATGCTGGTCAGTCAAGACTCAAGAGACTGGCAAATATACCCTCAGCTCTTGCATACATGTACTTGACATAGGTAACCAAAATGTTCACTGTATCTACTAATCAGCTTATCAGAGTGGTGGCCAGATTCCACAACCATGAGTTTTGTTCTGAGAACAAGTACTACATGTATTACTAAATACTAGGGATTGTTTTTAAAAAGGAAATGAAATGAAATGGGATTTAACGTCCTACTAGTATTGTTTTGCACCGACTGGGCTAATAAAGATGGGCATACGCTATACAGATTGCTATGAGGGAAATTTTGCCCAGACAGCGGCACTACGGCCTACTCTTATATCAAATTCTAACTGACAAGGAATCTTTTATGTGCATGCCAATGTGTACACAGGACCTCAGTTTTTCGTCCTATCCAAACAACTAGACAGCTGTCCTTTCTCGGTTTTTAAAAAGGAAGATCATCAATATCATTATATAAAATATTTTATTCTAGACCTGTTAAATTCCACAGACATGGATTGTTTTTAAAAAAGAAGACCACCAATTTCATTATATAAAATATTTTATTCTAGACCTGTTAAATTCCACAGACATGGATTGTTTTTAAAAAGGAAGACCACCAATTTCATTATATAAAATATTTTATTCTGTAACATAGCCATGTTAAATTCCCCAGTCAGTCAATTTGACAAAAACAACTACAAAGCAGAAAATAATTATTTTTAATACACAGAGTGTGTACATGTATAAATAGTAAATAATAATATTCATAGTAACCTATATTATCATTCCCTCAGGCAATTTCTACCCATTAACACTTCATAATCTAATTATACTATTATTACTATTCTATTTTACACCCCAGTATCATACCATTAGCACTATCTATTACTTTTTACACCCCGGTATATATTAGTAATAAAAGGCATATATTTACACCCTACTGTTAGTACTATCTATTACATCAGCACATACAGGTAATAAACATATCATGGGCCTACTATCCATTACATCAGCAGGGACATGTACAGGTAATAATAAACACATCAGGGGCCTACTATCCATTACATCAGCAGGTGAGAGAGAGAGAAATGGAGTTTAACGTTCACTCGACACAAACTAGGTCATTTCGGGACTAACATATTGTTCAATTTTATTTCAATAATTCGCTTGCGCGTAGGGGTCTTTAGCAGTGGGAGGAAACTGGAGGACCCGGGAAAAACCCACGAGGTTGGACAGACGACCCTACTCCTTGTCATGTACAAGCCTGGAAATAAGGCACCTGTCACTGACAATGTCAGGCATAGATTCAGGCTTTGTCAGGCACTAAACCTCTGATGCCTGTCATTTTGTCCGGCACTGATATGTTTTTTTTGCTGATATTATTAATACATGTCCGGCACTAAGTTGAAAATGTCAGGTACTATTTCATTATGTACATTTTGTCAGGTACATCTAAAACCGTTATTTCTAGGCCTGGTCACATACAACCGGGTAATCGAAACCACGCCAGTTGGCTCAATGACAGGCCGTATGATACAGCATGCACATGCTATGCTAACCATTCGGCCATCCAACCCCCCCCCCCCCACATCAGTATTTATATATGTAATAAATACATCAGGTACTCTTCTACCTTGATGCCAATAAAATAATACAATAGTAAAATTGATTTGTATATTGATACGTTTATCTATGTGATATTGGGCCTTAATTAATGGTCAATGTGTGCTCATTGGATCATAAGGTCGGAAATGAAATGAAATGGGGTTTAACGTCCTACTGTTCTGCTCCTAACCTGGGCTAATGAAGACGGGCATACGCCATACAGTGTGCTATGAGGGAAATTTTGCCCGGGCAGCGGCACTACGGCCTACTCTTATATCGAATTCCAACTGCCAAGGGATCTTTTACGTGCACGCCAATGTGTACACGGGACCTCGGTTTTTCGTCCCATCCGAACGACTAGACAGCTGTCCTTGTCAGGCCCTCCGTCCTGCATCACTGACAAGGGGGAAACCACGCCGGAAAATCGTGATGAACTTTCTCGGCCAATGCAGGGATCGAACACTCGACTTCCAGGCTAGCGAGCCAGCGTCTTACCCACTTAGCCACGTGATCATAAGGTCGGTCATTGAATCAAGAGATGTGGTTTCGATACCCCGGTTGTACGTGACAAGGAGTAGGGCTGCCTGTCTAACCTTGTGGGTTTTCTCAGGATCCTTCGGTTTCCTATGCACACCACAAGTGACTTATTGAAATAAAATTGAACCATGTTAGTCCAGAAATGACCTAGTTTGTGTCAAGTGGTTGTTAAACCCCATCTCTCTCTTTCTCTTTGACATCCTTCCTTATAGAACTTGCATAATTCTATTTCTTGTTTAGATTTAGATCGTCATAACTCACAAATTGCGAACTCTTATAACCCTGCTATCACAAATAACTGTGACAACGTTTTTTTCTCAACTGTATGGCAATTACTAAATTAGCGATCGAACCAATGCATACCCACTCTGCTATCGTTCAGAGGTACAGTATGTCCAACAAGAATGTTTCTTTCAAGAACTTGCAAATATGACTTATGCATAGGTTTGTAGAAAGAACTTCATTTTGACATATGGTTCCGTCAGACAAATTTGAAATAAATATACACGACACAATATAACGAGCTTGGGTGGTCAATCTTCAAATAAAAAGAGAAAGAGAGAGAAATGGGGTTTAACGTCCACTCGACACAAACTAGGTCATTTCGGGACTAACACACGGTTCAATTTTATTTACATAATTCGCTTGCGCGTAGGGGTCTTTAGCAGTGGGAGGAAACCGGAGGACCCAGAGAAAACCCACAAGGTTGGACAGGCAACCCTACTCCTTGCCACGTACAACCGGGGATTCGACTTCAAATAAAAGCTACCACTACACTATTATTATTATTCAACAAAAACATCTATCAACAATTGTCTGCTGTTCTAGCCTGCTGTTAAAGGAGCTAAATTGCTAACATTTGGGACATAGAAATTGACACAAATGGGTCGCAACACATATAATAATGTAATATGAATGTACCGGTATATAAACTGATTTACATTCAATCATTTCTGTTTATAATCTAATTTCAAATCAGTTATGTTCAACGAAATACGGCAGAAGTCTCAATGTTGAATCAAATGTCAATCTCTAGCGTCTGGTTATCATAGTCTACAATGATAGTATCTCGCATGCTCTCCAGATAAGAATATAGCATCACCATTTGATATGTCTTGTGGAATATGTCTAGCCTCGATCTGTGAGTCCCTTGTTACAAATGGCACCGAGATGCAGTATGGTAGCCTACACGATTCGTGTACCAATGGTAAAATGTTTATTTTGTCTTAAATATTGGATATCACTTATTATCAGACCGAAGCCCATCTTTTCCCCCGGGTAAGATCACAAGTTGATTTAAATTGACAAATAATTTGTGTTTTCAATGTTGAAATGGATGATATTGAGTTAGAGACTTAGTTACTCTAAATTGACAAATAAAATAATTTGTGTTTTCAATGTTGAAGACTTTGGATGACATTGAGTTAGAGACTTGCCTACTTTAATTGGAAGATTAATCAATTAACCAGATTACACACTTCAATCAACAACCGTCCTCTAGCCTAATACAGTAATAGAGTAGGCCTCAATGACGTGACCCTACCCTACCCTTGAAGTCCCTTGGCTTTAACTTTTATTTACTGACTTTAGTCATAAAATAAATAATAAATATTTTTTTCTTAAAAAGTATTGGATGTAGACTTCTTATACTTGACTGACCATTTTATAATTCACATTTACCAGATTATTCATTACCCAATCAATACCTGTATTTGACTCGTTAAACAGCAGTCGATGAATAATCCTGTATTCTCAATTGAATAGTGTCATTCCAGAACTGGATAGGGATTGAATATTATCCATACGAAGTCAAGACACCTTATTTGGAATACAAAATACAGACTAAGTACTGGGTTTCACAGAAATAAATAAAGCTGCACCCACCTCAAATAGATTTGAATAATTGTCCCTAGTATAGACTCGCCTATCAGTGTGACTCAAACTATTGTTATTTACACTACAAGTACAATTTCTCAAGCCAATATCCACTCCGCCATTCCAAAAACCTTGGCGCATGCGCATCTACAAGCCGCATCACGTGATCGCGTCTGGGCAGGTGTCCGGGTCTTGACTGTTTCGGGCATTGATTTATGGATTATTTACTAAGAAAGTAGGGGCTATTAGAATTTGTCCGTCCGCCAAACTGAACAACAGACCCACCCTACCTGCAAACTAGCTACCATTGAGTTTTCGAACGTCACTTACGTACGTACCTCCGTCCAGTGTCTGTCATTGTCAGACTGTCACACTTTCTCAAGTTTCTGCCAATTCTGGGTCTAGTAGTAGTACTTAGTAGTACGTTGACCCGGCTACTTTTGACTTACACTACTAACCCTAACCCTAAGTAGCCGGATCAACGTACTGCGCCCAATTCTGGGACAATATAATAATATAATCCTTCTTCTAGTTCTAATAGTAGAAATAGAATGGTTGAAATATGACTGTCTTGATCATTGATAATGTTCGATGATGAACATAAATAATATATATATTATAATGCTTAGAGAATACTTGAGTAATATTTTGCTACTTAGGCTAAGCAGAGGATGCTGTCGATTCTATCTGACTCAGTGATTGCTTAGGCCTCAAGTTTCAATCAAAACCCTGTCTTTGTGAGAAGTTCAATATAATATTAATAAAGCATTGGCTCAATACCACTCTTGTTGCAACTGTGTCCCAATCTTTATTCTGCTCAATAAATTGTACTATTATACAATATTCCAATTAATTGATGATACAAATTTCATCTTAACACACCTAATTTAAAAAATTGGAAAAATTCAACTAAATGATTTGAAAAGCCTGACGTAAAGCTTTTCAATTGTTACTTGGATTTAAAAATATTTTTGAACCCTCTGGACAAGTAAAATAGGATTTAACACATCTAGTACTTAGAATAAGGCTATTTTTTATTTTCTGGAGCTGTCAAGCCAGCAAGAGTGTTATCGTCCCTTTAAGTAGGCCTACTGTATTCCTAAGATATATTTGGTGGTACATTATGTATTGTATTTGAGAGATCCTCCTGCCATTAACAGTGGATAATAAAATTGATCTGGAAACCTGTAGTTTGTTATTCTTGTGTTAGTGTTAAAGGGGAGTGAGTAAATCAGAATGTCCTGGGTTCGAGATCGATCCTCAGTAATTTACATTGGTGCAAGACAGAGGGTCCCGACTAGGAACACTGTCTAGTTATTTGGATGGGACAAAAAAAAACAAGTTCCTAGTAGCCTACAAGAACCCTACAGTTGGACTTTGATGAAGAGTAGATGGAGACGTTGCTGTCCGGACAACATTCCACCGCCCCCCCATATCACACTGCATGACATTCCCCCCCCCCATATCACACTGCATGACATTTGCCCCTCCCAATATCACACTGCATGACATTCCCCCCCCCCCCAATATCACACTGCATGACATTCCCCCCCCATATCACACTGCATGACATTTTCCCCTCCCAATATCACACTGCATGACATTCCCCCCACTTCCATATCACACTGCATGACATCCCCCCCCCCCCCATATCACACCGCATGACATTTGCCCCTCCCAATATCACACTGCATGACATATCCCCCCCAACCCCCATATCATACTACATGAGATTTCACCCCATATCACCCATTCATTTCAACAACCAGACATGGTTCATCTCACCCGAGGGCGCTTACGAATGTTTCAACCCGCGCGTTGGATCGTAAGCTCTGTCATTTAGTCATGTGGCCTATTTTCGATTCCCGGCTTGTACACAAGGAGTAAGGCCACCTGACAAATCTCGTGGGTTTTCTCCTGGTGCTAGCACTGCTAAAGACCCATACGTGTAAGCAAATTGACAATAAAATTGAACCATATGTTAGTCCTGAAATTAGCTAGTTTCTGTCGAGTGGACGTTAACCCCATTTCTCTCTCTCACCCGATAGTGAATTGAAGGTACATGTAAATAACATTCTTCCAATTAAACAGTCCACAGTATCCCAAGTTTTTCTGTCTCGGATTTTCGGCTCAATTTGCAATACAATAGATGCATATCATATGTAAATACCTCAATTTATACCATTGGATTCCTGAACACGCAACTGGTTATTATATCTCTGATTGGTCAGGTCTAAATATTAAGGCCACCTGGAGTTTTGGTCAAGGTCACAAGATGTAAATGGGGTTAGGGCACTTGGTTCTTGACAAGATTGTGGGTTAGGGCCAGGGCTTGCCTTGTTTACATCTTGTGACTGATGAAATCTGCAGGTGGCTTTAATATTTGGACCTATGAATGAGGGGAAGTACTTCAAGGGATTAGGGGAGCCAAGGTGGCTCATTGTCTAAGAGTTTGGCTCACTAACATGGAAGTCCCGGGTTCGATACCAGTGTTTGCCGAGGAAGTTACTTCAGCTTCCCCCCCCCCCCCCGGCATGTTACACTGTATAGTCGTTCAGATGGGACAAAAAGGAACCCCTGACGTCACAAATTGTTTAGTAGGCTGTAGCGCTCATAACACATTGTATGGCATAGCTATTCCCCTCTTCATTAGCTCGGATAAAGCAGAATCCCATTTCTTTCCATTTTTATAGAATTTTGTTTAACAATAGGTTGTTTTTTTTATGATAAATTTATTAAGGTATATCAATTGAACAGAAATATTGAAAGTTTGTAAAACACCCACATCGGTATCACAGAAATCAATTTTGACTAGGAAACTTCAATCTCAAACTTATTCCTCCAGGAATTCTGGTAGATAAAGACTATCTTCAACTCAGTCCTCAATTCAACCAGGTCATTCACCTACCTAAAATAAAATTAAAAAGATATCAAAATTACTAAATATCAGTGAGTTTTAATTTAGTTACGATTTTAGTTCTATTTAAGATACTAAAATATTGGATGTTTAAGCAAACACCAGCATCGATGCAGCCCAAATGTCTAAATAGCCAGTCCGCCTCTACAACCAACAGATTAACCAACAGATCGTGGTATTCCAGAGAGAGAGAAATGGCGTTGAACTTCAACTCGACACAAACTAGGTCATTTCAGGACTAACATATGGTTTAATTTTATTTCAATAATTCGCTGGCGCGTAGGGGTCTTTTTTAGCAGTGGGAGGACATGACCCTTCTCCTTGTCACGTACAACCAGGGATTTGAAACCACGCCTGGTTACTCAATGACAGGCCTTATGCCACAGTGCGCATGTGCTAACCATTCAACCATCTAAACCCCATGGTATTCCAGAGATAGCAAGTTAATTGGAACCAATAAAATAGGGGTTGGACCAGGATTACAAAAGCCAAAGAATGTTTCATAAATTTTGTTTCTGTCTTAGATTATGTTTGTTTTGCAAATTTTACCATAACATTAAAAATTTAAAACAAAATTAGACCTCTGCGTCTATCAGAATTAGAAAATATTCACCTTACAAACAAACAACAACTCTGTGCCCTTGCTCATCTTTAGCCACTGGTAACAGATCTTGAAGAGAACAAGTCGTCGTCCACATCTTCAAAATATTAAAACAGTAAATATTAATAGACAATAATTATAAAATATTTGACACTGAAACAGCAAGAATTAGAGTAGAAACTGATAAAAAAGGTATTCCTATTAAAATATATTTATATAAATGCAGTGAGATGTTTTTTATTAATTACACCTATGTTGTTTTTGTTTGAGAGTAATAAGTCCTATCTTACCTTACGATAATCTTTAGCCCAATACCTAACAGTAGTACTACACTTAATACTGCAGCCCAATTCCTATCATTATCTTCCATATACAGTATTCTCCTACAATATATCCTTTGTTACCACCCAAGCCTGTCCATGGCCTACAATACTGACCCACCCTGTCCAAAGCCTACAATACTTACCCACCCTGTCCATAGCCTACAATACCGCCCCACCCCGTCCATAGCCTACAATACCGCCCCACCCCGTCCATAGCCTACAATACCGCCCCACCCCGGCCATAGCCTACAATACCGCCCCACCCCGGCCATAGCCTACAATACCGCCCCACCCTGGTCATAGCCTGCAATACCACCCCACCCTGGCCATAGCCTACAATACTGCCCCACCCTGGCCATAGCCTACAATACCGCCCCACCCTGGCCATAGCCTACAATACTGAGTCCACCCTGTCCATTGCCTACTATACTGAGTCCACCCAGTCCATTGCCTACTATACTGAGTCCACCCAGTCCATTGCCTACAATACCGCCCCACCCCGGCCATAGCCTACAATACCGCCCCACCCTGGCCATAGCCTGCAATACCGCCCCACCCTGGCCATAGCCTACAATACTGCCCCACCCTGGCCATAGCCTACAATACTGAGTCCACCCTGGCCATAGCCTACAATACTGAGTCCACCCAGTCCATTGCCTACTATACTGAGTCCACCCAGTCCATTGCCTACTATACTGAGTCCACCCAGTCCATAGCCTACAATACTGCCCCATCCTACAATACTGCCCTACCCTGTCCATACCCTACAATACCAACCCACCTAGTCCATTACCGACCCACCCTGTCCATAGCCTACAATACTAACCCACCCTGTCCATGGCCTACAATACCGACCCACCCATAACATCTTACTGGACTAGGACTGTCTATTGCCTACAGTAACAGGCCACCAATAACATCTTACAGGTCTGTCAACTGCCTACAATATTCCCCATTGCCTACAATACCATCCCATCCCATGTTACTCCTTACATGACAGTCCATTCCCTACAATGCCGCCCCATATATAACATCTTAAAGGATGTCCATTGCCTACAATACCGCGCCACCCGTAACATCTTACAGGACTGTCCATTGCCTACATTGTCGCCCCACCCATAACATCTTACAGGATGTCCATTGCCTACAATACCGCACCCCCCATAACATCTTACAGGATGTTCATTGCCTACAATACCATTTCACCTTTTGTTACAGTATTGTCCATAGCCTAGACTACCATCCCTCCCCGTTTTCAAGTTACATCTAAATAGTTCAGTCGATAGACTACAATATTGACCTAATTCGCTAAATCTTACAATCCTATCAATTGCCTACAATACCGACCCACATCTTACAGTACTAGCCATAGCATTTAATACCAAGTTATTAGCCTTTAATACCAATGTGTTACAGGCCTACAGCTACTACTAAGAGTATCCAAGTTTGCCCATTGCCTATAATACCACCCACAAAGCCCATCCTGAATAACCACCCGACCCACTTTTACTCTACCTAAAAAGACACTTATCCATAACAGACCTTTTCTACTTAAAGTACACTTAACAATTATACTATATGATCTAAAAATATATTTCACTGAATAAATATATTCACAAAAAATTTAATCGCTTTAATATTCGTATCAAGAATAGGTGCCTTTGAATGCAAAAAAAAAAAAAATTCAGATTTTAACTTAGAGTGCCAAGCGAGTGAGCAAGCTAAGAATATTATTGCTACGTGACTTTAGAAGAAGAAAGAGAAAAGACGTTTAACTTTGACGTTTTCTTTGTTTTCGATTTTTTTTATTATTTATATAGATGAGAGGATGATAAGATACATGACAATAATGATGACATTAAAAAAACAATAAACATACAATAAAACTCACATAAAGTCTAAAGTGCTAGTTTCCATGACAATGTTGATGACATAATGACAAAAATGGCTTAAATCTACAGGCAAGTAAGGGGGATGAATCGAGCTTATATCACACAAAAAAGATCTGATTTCATTTTTTTTTTTTCTCTAGCACTTTTCTTAATCCTAATGCAGAATTATTCACTTGCACTTTTTGAAAGATTAAATATATTTACACTCCTACACCCATTAACAAATCTGTATTCCCATAATCAGTTATAAATATATATATATATATATATGTATATATCTATATATATTAAAGTAAAGGGAGTTAACTCTCATCTTTCTATACATTAGAGACTATAATCAGCTTTCTTGGAAACACTTCTTTAAACAAGATCTTCGGCGATATATTTGTTCTTATTGCCTACCTAGAGGTTAAAGTTTAAAATAAAATTAAATATAAAAAGACATAATTGACATGACAAAAATTTTTGTTTTAAAAAAGATAAATCTCGAAATTGGTAGTTATGAAAGTTTTTTGGGGTTTTTTTGAGCTACGAAGTTAAAGTGTTATTGGAATTACGAATTAATTCAACTGACCTGTAGATAGAGCCGTTTGATTGGATGATGTATTAACGTCTGTAGCCACCATAATTACCGCCACCGCCACCACCATAGTGACCTTGACCTCCCCCTGATCCACCATATCCAGCTAAAAATGAAATCCCGAAATCGGTAAGCATCGCTCCAAATAAAGCTTCCCGTCGATTAATAGTGGATAGAATTAATTTGAATAGCTTAACTTTAGGTCGAAAACTCTATCAAGGTCCACAGAAGCAAGGGTATTTATTTTTAGTTTTTGGAGAAGGGACCAGATCTGACGAATCGAACTTACAACCGTAAGGTCCCTGACCCCGCTGAGAGAAATTTCCTCCTTTCAAAGCCCCACCTCCGTAACTGTTTCCATAGCCTGATCCAAAACCACCATCTCCCCAGCTTCCTCCTCCTCCACCTAAAAATACACAAGTACAAAACGTTCATTTCGATTCAAATCTCTATTGAAACATACATTATGCAAGAGCTAAATCTGCCTGAAACGTTATAAACTATTAGACATTTCTTAACATGAAAAGACCTTAATCAACTCTCGATGCCATCTTATGTGTCCGATATATATTGGATTTGAATCTGATCTGCTGTTCAACGCCCACTGAGGATTAAACACAAAAATGGATAATCAAGACTTAATTATGGTGACAGCAGTAACAATGATAATCAAGGCTACAGTGATTTTAAAATAAGGTTTTCTCAGCTTAGAGTGAAGCAATTTGACTGAAATTTTCAGCATATTTCCTTTACATTATCTAGTTTTTAACTATTATAGTGAGAACTGCAAGCTCTTCATCTAATCGTCCATAATGTATCTTTAAAGTTCGATTTCAGGGATATAATTGCATAACAAGAACAATCGATCTTTAAAATCTGAGTTGCTGAAATTTTCTGTAAAATCCTGAATGTCATACTAGTGACTGCCCAATATTGATACTGTAAACTGTCAAAATGTGCAGAGTCAGTTCATGACATCCAAAAGTTTTAAATAAATTTAAAATTGAAAAAAAGAAAAGTAATTTAAAAATAATTTAAAAATTGAAAAGTAATTTAAAAATTTAAATTTAGAGCAATAAATAAGATTATAATTAAAAATTTAAAAGTAATTTAAAAATTTAAAAGTAATTTAAAAATTTAAAAGTAATTTAAAAATTTAAATTTAAAAATAATTTAAAAATTTAAATTTAAAAATAATTTAAAAATTTAAAAGTAATTTTAAAATTTTAATTTAGACTAATAAATAAAATTATAAATATAAAAATTTAAAATGTTATTCAAAAATTTAAAGATGAAACTAAAGGTAAATATAAAATTGGTGTTACCTTGGTTGTATCCCCCACCATAACCACTTTCATAGCCTCCACCACCACCTTGTCCACCCCAGTTGTTGCTATAGCCACCACCACCTCCATATCCACCTCCATGATGGTTGCCATAACCACCACTATATCCACCTCCTACAATAAAAATAAAATGTCAATTCAACAACAAAATCTATTCTCGTGCCATTAGTTCCTCCTCGATATCCGAGCAGTGGCTGATTGAGATCTGGGTCTTCAGGGCCAGCTTGGTCAACCAGGCCCTAAAATAATGGTATAAAATATTCATTTAAGCTTTTTGTTGATTAGGGTGTGGTAATTGATCAAATCAAACGTTATTTTCGGATCCAGATATGCGCTCCAAATGACCATTGGCAACCAAGCAATCCCTTACCAAATATCTAGTGTCCGTCAATGCACACTAGAGCCATTTTTAAGAATTTATTTCAAACCACATTAGAAGGCATCATTTTTTATAGGGTGCCCAGAAAATGTGTTCATAACATACCTCCGTATCCACCCTGAGCTTGTCCGTATCCGCCACCGTAACCTTGGTTACCACCCCAATTACCACCTCTACTTCCCATAACTCCCATTCCTGCTGCCCCACCTCGTCCTCCCATAGGACCTCCTCTACCTGAAATATTTAGTATTCAACATATATGAAATGGGGTTTTAAGCCTTACTTTTACACAAACTGGGCTAATGAAGACGGCCATATCTAATATTCAACATGTCGTGTGCTATGAGAGAAATTTTGCCTGGACAAAGGCGCTATGACATACTCTTATTTCGATTTCCAAATGTTGAGGGTTCTTTCACATACACACCTATATGTAGGCCTACATGGGACCTTTTTTTTTTGTCCCAGACCTACACCCCGCTGAAAGGTGGAACCATGGTAGAAAATTCAAACACAAGCTAACTTCGTACTCACAGAGCCACCTCAGTGCACTATTTAACGTAAGAAATTTTACCCGGACTAGATGCCGCTCCCTACACAACTGACAAGGGGCAAAAACCAAATTTGACAAAAAATAATAGGGGAAACTTTCTCGGCCCAGGCAGGGATTGAACCCTCTGTGCTCTTGATATAAGCCAACGCCATTAAATGAAATGGGGTTCAACGTCCTACTCCGACTGAACACTGGCATACGCCATAAAGTGTGCTGTGAGGCAAATTTTGCCTGGCCAGAGGCAGCCATGAAATAAGAGTTTCAACAAACCTGAAGCATCTTTATTCAGAGCTTTTTTAACTTCCACTTGTCGACCATTTAAATCATGTTTCTTTTTTACTGTAAATATACAAATAATTTATATTAAACAAAAGCAGTCGAGGACGACGACAACTCTCGTAAATGATGTAAGATGATACACAACCACCTGTAACCATAAGTCTCATCTCAAATAATTCATTACATATAATCACATCAAGGAGTTAGATCTGCCTATTGCTGGTCTTCTTTTTGACTTCAAATCTTATATAAATCACACATTTATTCACCTACTAAACCCATAATCAACTCTCTAGATCATTGGATGGCGCCGATTGACAACTCGTGACATTTTAAAATAAACGATGTAATGGATAATCAAGACTATGTTTAGTTTGATAAGTATATGTAGCGTTGCTACAATAATTAACGATCTAGGCTACTTCTTTCAACAATCATAACTTCGCCTAGAATAAAGTCGATTCAACAATATATCATGCAAGCACGAATGGAAATATACCTAAAATATAAAGTGCACAATGGCATTGGGAGAAAACCTTTGAAACATTGCCTGAAGAAATTTGTAGTGGTCATACGTACATCATGTACAAGCATTGGATTTAAACTATGCTAATTGACTCAACGACAGGTACTACCTGACCTAAAGCTTACGCGATAGATCACTTGGTCTCCCAACTCTCCTAAATAAAAGTAAAACTTACAAACACATTTATCGACTGAATCGTAATCTTTAAATGTAACGAAAGCGAATCCTTTAACTTTTCCCGTGGCTTTATCCGTTATCAGATCAATTTTTTCTATGTCACCATATGAGCCAAACGTATCACGAATATGTTCTTCCGTTGTATCATCCTTCACTCCACCAATAAACAATTTTGTAACAGATTGTTGAGATTCGGGTCGCCCAGATTCCTGAAACGAAAGATTGAAAACACAAAATTAAAGATGCATTATGTAAAAGACTAAATCTGTCTTTTCAAAGTTTTTATTTTGGCTTCAAATGTGAGAGAGAGAGAAATGGGGTTTAACGTCCACTCGACACAAACTAGGTCATTTCAGGACTAACATATGGTTTAATTTTATTTCAATAATTCACTTGCGCGTAGGGGTCTTTAGCAGTGGGATGAAACCTGAGGACCCAGAGAAAACCCACGAGGTTGGACAGGCGACCCTACTCCTTGTCACGTACAACCAGGGATTTGAAACCACGCCAATTGACTCAATAACAGGCCATCCAATGTAAGATACTATAATTTAGACATTTATTAACACAAGCCTATACTAAATTAACGATAAAATGGATAATCAAGACTAAGTCTTGTTTGTCCAGTACCGTTGCTTCGATAATAAACAATCTGGGCAACATCTTCAAACACTCATAACTTCACTCAGAATAAAGTAATTTGAATGAAATTTTCAATATATTCATTTTCTATTATCTATTTTTGAACTATTATAGCAAGAACGGACAGCTCTTTTTCTAAATCTTACATAATGATGCATCATGAACACAGACCAACAAACATCTCCAAAAAAATTCCTGTCCAAATGACGCAACCATCAATATAGTCCATGAGGAGAGGATTTATTTTGACTTAGAATATGTTTTTTTGTTTTTTTTACAAAAATCTGTTCAGTAGTCCAGGAGAAAAATGCATAATTGTACAATGGTTCTCTACCTATAAGCGAGATTATTTGAAATGAAGTTTACATCTGATATTTCTACACCAACCGGTCAAAGAAAAAGGCCTGCATATGCCCTACAGTTTGCTATGAAAGATATTTTGGCCCATCCGAGGAGCTACAAGCTACTCTTATTTCTATTTGCAACTGTCAGGGGATCTTTAACATGCTGCCAATAGTACCTTGATTTTGTCAAAGGAACTGAGGCAATTAATAAATAAAAGTATGGAGTCAGACCACCATTAATTTCCCCATTGACTTCAATGTTAATTCTGGTCCCTTTTCGCAACTCCAACTTTTTCCCAAATTTTCGTTGGGCTGAATGCTTTTCACTACAGACAGAGAAACAAATTGTCATGTCTCTGCACTAAAATTTGTATGAGGTTGACTACCAAAATTTGTATGAGGTTGACCACCAAAATTTGTATGAGGTTGACCACCAAAATTTGTACGAGGTTGACCACCAAAATTTTGAGATACACAAACTTGAAGAAGCATACTAAAAACATTTAACTATTTGCCGTACATATCACCGTAGCCAACCTGATAACCTTGTTACCCTTCTGCCTCTAAATCATGAATATTTACCAAAACCTGGCAGAAAATGTTAATTCAAAGCCTCTTCGTCCATTCTAGACCAAAAAATGGACATGCAAAAGGGGAGAAAAGAGACAATGAGAGAATTGCTATAAACAGACGAACTATAATTTGTGGGTACCGAGATGGTGAAATTTAATGGTGGTCTGCCTCCGTATGATGCACTATTTATATGCAGTTATCTCCCTTGATAAAACAAACAGTGTTTATAGTTCATTCCTCCAAGCAGCTAGAGAGATATGAGGTTTAATGTCCAGTCAAAATAAAGTAGGTCATTTTGGGACTAATATGGTTTAATTTTATTTCAATAATTCGCTTGCGTGTGACTACCCTTCATGTACAGGCAGGGAATCTACTTAATGACGAACCACCAACCCACCAATCAGATCTGTGCATCAATCGTGTTAAAGAAAAAACAAAAGAAAACAAAATGGACATGAACTCACTTCACGGGGCATAGCTCTTTTACTTTCTACTTCTCTACCATCTATTTTGTGTGGTCGATTTTTCTGGGCTTCATCTAACATGGCAGCTTCTTTAAATGTGATGAATCCAAATCCTCTAGATCTTAAAAACAATTTATTTGTAATCAATTTACTCTCATATTGTTACTTTTAACAAGATTTAAACTAGTAAGGGGCGGATCCAGGAATTTTTGCAGGAGCAACCATTTTAGGTAAGCAACCATACTGTACTTAAAAATAAAATGAAACTGGGGGTTTAACGTCCTACTGATGTGCTCCAACTGGGTTAATGAAGATGGGCATACGCCATAGAGTGTGCTATGGGTGAACTTTTTTCCCCCCGACACCAGCTCTATGGCCTACTCTTATATCGAATTCCAACTGTCAAGGGTAATTTTACGTGCATGTCAATATATACATGGGACCTTGGATTTTTAGCCATCCAAGCGACTGGACAGCTGTCAGGAAACCACGGCAGAAAATCCTGAACTTTTATTTTGAATCTGAACTTCAAGGGATCTTTAACCTCCACAGGATCTTTATTTTTTGGGGGTCCCATCCATCCAAATGACTAGACACTGACATGACGAAACCAAGCTGGAAAATCCCAGGGAACTTTCTCGACCAACACTGGGATTGAACCCTGTACTTCTTGGTTAGTGAGTCAGCACCTTACTGAGCCAGCGGAGCTCCCCGTTTTCACCAGATAGCCGCCACACCTCACTGAAAATTACACTAACGGATTACCTTTTTGTGTTGGGGTCTTTCATGACAACACAATCAACGATTTCACCCCATTTTTCAAAATGTCCTTTTAAACCATCTTCCATTGTCTCATAACTGAGACCCCCAATAAATAATTTACGGAATTGTTCGGATTCTGGGTCAAGGTAGTCATCTCCTCCACCCCTTCCACGACCTCCACGCATACCGCCTCGACCTCCACCACGTCCATACTACAAAAGAAATGACATTTAACAGTTAATAAGTAATCACCCATTTATAAGATGAAGACAAGAATTTTATAAAGCAGACAAAATGGCTCATGAATTCGGTTTTGAAAATATCCCAGATACCTCCTCAAGTCATTCGCAAACAGGTTCATAATCGACATTTCATCCCATTGGCATAACAATGAAATGGGGTTTAATGACCTACTTTACTGCTCTGACTGGGCTAATAATGACAAGCTTACGCCAGTGTGCAATGAGCGAAATTCTGCCCAGTCAGCGGCGCTAATGCCTACTCGTGTATCGAATTCCAACTGTCAAGTGTTATTTATGTCAAGTGTTATTTACGTTCAAGCCAGTTTGTCCCATCAAAACGACTATTGTATACATTTAGTTTTAAATATTGGATATCAGAAGCCCATTTTTTCCCGGTAAGATCACAACATCAATGTTGATTTAAATTGACAAATAATTCGTGTTTTCAATGTAGGAGATTTTGGATGATATTGAGTTAGAGACTTAGCTACTTGAAATCAGATTGAACATAACCATTCCTCCAGCTATAAAATAATGCAATATACTACACACCACTGAATATATCTAGAGATATGACCACTTGTAATTTCCCAAACATTTCATTTAGTTGTTGAATAATCTGATTGTCGCAAATTGTACTTGTAGTCTTCAAGACTAAACTATATTCTCGGTCGACCAGTCCAGAAAACAATATGGTAAATCTGATCAGTGTTAGCCTAATTAGTTGAGTTCTTGACGAGGTGATCACATTTTTACTGCATAAACAAACAGGCAGGTTAGCCTCCCCATGGCTAGTTTAGCTGGAACAAAAATCCATCTAAAGTCTCAAAATGACAAATGTATTAACAACCGTTTTTGTGATAATAATATAAGGTTGATTACTAATCCTATTAAAAATTAACCATACCGGTAGCCTAGTCCAAAATGATAAATTTTTGTAAATATATTCTATGATATTCAGTAATAATATCAATCTAGGTCTAAAACAAACGTGAATTTGTAAGAAGTTTAAAAAAGGTAAGAGCACTGATTGACTTGAAGCTTGAACTGATAAACTGACCGATGCAAAACAGCATCTTGCCATCTATTCTAAAGCTGATGTCAATGACAAAGGCCCAATAGATTCCTGATCACACAGATTCAGAAGCAGGCAAGTAAACTCAACGTGTGTGGGAGAGAAAAGCAATTCTAAATCCACTTTACAACACACACGTTTAGGCTGTGAATTTGGTTACAGCCTAATAAATATTAGATTATGAAATTAGCAGTTACGGATGATACTCACTTCAGGCATTTTACTATTTTTTTTCTTTTATAACGAATCTTCGTGTTTTTAATATGGCTGCATGCAGCAAGCAAAGCTTTTATATTGGCATATCACGTGACCTAATTAATTTCCGTAAATGAAATCTACTGGCCGTTTGATGATATATTTTTCGTAAAATTCAAAGCTCAAGAATTGTGATCAATAAATTTAGGTTGAAAATCAGCAAATTAAATATTGAAAAACAAAATGAATACGTTTAATGACCTAATTCGTTCATTTACGGGAGATTCCGGAATTTTCCCGCGAAAATGACGATAATGAATTCCCGGATATAGGATTGACGCATGCGTGAACGTGAAAGAAGAGACGTTTTGTGGAAAAGGTAACAGGGTGAAAAATATTTTGGTATTTTATAAGTATTTAATGGTGTTTTAAGATCATTTTATTGCCCAGTAATAAAACATTTCAGGCAGATGTTATGTTTTGACATGATTTTGTATCTGAAATTGGTAATTTTTTGACATTTAGCACTGTTTTGATTTTCACAACATTGTCAATTTCATGCCTTTCAAAATGGCGCCGAACTCAGACAAGAACACAATTACTTTATTTTCTTATTATCAAAATCCCAAACTGTTGAGATATTACGCATGTCATCGACCCAGTTTAATGGTCATGGCTATTTAGATAACTTGAATGAATTAAAAAAAAAATTGGGAATCTTTTAATTTGATTAATCACCTGGATTTAAAAAGGCGAATTAAGGGTAGATCTAGACTTTTTTTCAAAAAAAAAAAAAAAAAATTGCCAGTAATATCAAAATAAATAGCTGAAACAGTGGAAGCTATACTAGTATCAGTTGTCACCCCCTTTGCATAAACCTGGGGTGTATTTGATCATAAATTTAGGGCAATTAATTAGTCTTCCCTTCCTCTCCCCAGTCATTGTTATTTTAGGCGAGCCATCGCTCTCGAGTGCCTGCAGCTCGCCTGAACGTTTACCGAGGGGAGTTTTTTTTCCCCTCTCCTTAAAATTGAAAATCGTTCTCCTTTACAAAGTCATGGGGGGGGGGGGGGGCTTGTTATCATTTATGAATTCAGGAATGACCCCCTAACATGTAGTTATTGATCTTCAGAACCATTTCCCATACATTTCCAAATCACTCTTTTTATCGAAACTGGGAGAGGCTTTTTAGTGGAGCGATTTTTTCAATTTGTTGATTAAGGGGAGCTTTTTTTGACTCTCTTCCAATACAAACGACGACTGTCTCCCATCCATATCAAAGCAAAGGCCCTTTTGAGTTTTGCAAGAGCAGTGAATGTTCTTAAAAAAAATCAAAAAGTCTGGTTCGTGTTGAATTTTTTTTTAAATTGATGGAAACAGCCTTTCGTCTATCTTTTACTGGTATATATGGGGACCATGGTGGCTAGATAATCTGGCTTATTGGGGTGGAGTAGGGCCTGGCAAGGGACTGTAAATTTTTTTCGGGTGGAACTATAAAAAAGGAGTTCCTTTGTACACGTAAAAAAGACCCTAAAAAGTTGAAATTCGAATAAGAGTTGGCCGCTGTCTGTGCAAAATATTTGAAAGTGCACTGCATGATGTAGACTATTGCTTGTCTTCATTAGCCCAGTCAGTGCAGAAAAGTCAGGCGTTGAATTTTATTTTTCTCCCACCCATATCAATATTGCAATGCTACATAACAGTATAACACTGATCGCAGTCCTGTTAGTTTAGTTATGAACACACATTGCATGGCATAAGCACGTCTTCAGGAGCCCAGTCAGTGGGAAAAAGTAAGGCATTAAACCTCCATTTTATGTTACCAGTGCAGTATATTATTGTTTTCATATTTTCTACTTTCCAGCTATAATAGGTGTTAATTTATAAAATGGAAACGGCAACTGAAAAAGGTGCATCTCCTGCCATAGAAGAAGAAGAGGAAGAATTTACAGTAGAAAAGGTGGTTGATAGACGTATGAAAAATGGAAAGAGGGAATATCTATTAAGATGGAAAGGCTATCCTGAGTAAGTCCTGCAGCCCCCTGGAATGAAATTATTTAATGTCTTTAATCGCTATCCATTTATCATGAATATAGAAGCCTAATTAAATTCTTGGATTATCGACTGCCCATGTCTTTTTCCATGATTTTTATCTCAGCAAGTGTTGTACATCTAACTCTCCATAAAGTTTATCAACATGTACATCAAGCGCTCAATCTCCGCGTACAGACATTCCTAATTGTCAGACTGCCAATTAGGGAAACCCTTACATTTTTGTCCTGTATGCGCTCCATGAGCTTTTTTCAGGTAATCTAGTATTTTTCTAGTAAGATTGGATATTTCTACTTTCCATATATACCAAAATTGCTTTACTTTCATTGGAAATAATCACCTTATCCATATATACCAAAATGTCCAGCTTCTTTATCAATACATTCAATGGTGTAAGACAGGAGGGAGCCACAATGCCTGAGTATGTAAGATGCTGGCTCGCTAACCTGGAGGTCGGATGTTCGATCCCTGCATTGGCCGAGAAAGTTCATCAGGATTTTCCGGCCCAGTCAGAGTAGGACGTTAAATTTTATTTCATTGTCCAAGACAAGAAGATTTAATAGTGTCACATATAACTTGCTATTGCAGAGAGTGTGAAGGGTTTGTCTAGGTGGGTTGTTTCCAAAGTGAGGTTAATAATGTCACATTCAAATGATGTTACATTACACCTGGGCTCTTTTTCTGGTCATGCTTCGGTAGTTTTAGATTATAAATTCTGTCATTGAGTCATTTGGCATGGTTCCGATTCCCCGCTTATAGTGACATGGGGTAGGATTGTCTATCCGATTTCGGGGGGGGGGGGGAGGTACTCCGGTGTACTCTCAGTACTAAAGACATGTGAAATAAAATTGAACCAACAATGTTAGTCCCAAAATGACCTAGTTTGTGTAGAGTGGATGTTAAACCCCTTGCCTTTGTAGACTAGTGCCCAATGTCCCAGGATCAAATCATGTTAAAGATTGGTGTAGAGTTGCTGGATACACCAATGTCTAGTCTCTATCAACCAGAAAAATATTCTACTAATATTAATCTGGATGCGATGAAAATAATAGGTAATGGCTTACATTATCATAAAGTCTAAGGGAGGTAACTAGTCCTAAATCAAAATGTTGACACACATGAAATTATTTTAAGAATGCCATTTCATGAAATTATTTTTAAGAATGCCATTTTATGAAATCCATTTGATTGCATTGTCAGTTCATTATCCAATACAGGGATCACGTGGCTAAGTGGGTAGACGCTGGCTTCTGGAGGTCGGGGGTTCGATCCCTGCATTGGCCGAGAAAATTCATCCCGATTTTCCGGCGTGGTTTCCCCTTATCAGTGATGCAGGACGGAGGGCCTGACAAGGACAGCTGTCTAGTCGTTTGGATGGGTCGAAAAACCGAGGTCCCGTGTACACATTGGCGTGCACGTAAAAGATCCCTTGGCAGTTGGAATTCGATATAAGAGGTCGTAGCGCCGCTGCCCGGGCAAAATTTCCCTCATAGCACACTGTATGGCGTATGCCCGTCTTCATTAGCCCAGGTTAGGAGCAGAACAGTAGAACGTTTAACCCCATTTCATTTCATTTTCATTACCCAATATTAACCTGTATCGAAATAACCAAAGTTGACGAGATTTTGAACTACATTCCATTTTTTCCAGCTCAGAAAACACATGGGAACCAGAAGAAAATTTAGATTGTCCCGATTTGATCGCAGAATTTGAAAATAACCGAAAAAAGAAAGAAGAAAAGAAACGAAAACAACCCAATGGTGTTGATGACACATCAACTAAGAAAAAGAAAAAAATTACTGAGGTAAAATCCAGCGTGAGTATCTTTCTGTATTTAAAGATAATACGCTTTTATTCATTAGTTTGCTTGGTGTTTGATGTGTGCATGTGGGCCTTGCACTGTATGTTGGTCAATATTTGGTAACCATTGAGACATTTTTGCCTGTCAATTTCGGTTTAGTATAAAAACATGTTAAGATTCGTAGAATTCTTGTAAATTTACTGAAGGAACAGTCCAAGTAGAATTTATAACAAAATATATTTTTTTGAAAATTTAGGCTTGGTTGAGGGTGGCACTGTATTTCTTATCCGCAAAAATTAAAAACTTAAGCTCTTCCGCTATGCATATTTTAATTTAAGTTAGCCCCAAAATATTCAGAAATAACTCATTAAATAATAGTGCTGAACAGTGTTTTTGTCAACTAGTTTCATTATTGGACTCGGTGAGTAAGATACAATCTCTCTGACCAGGAGGTCTCCGGTTCGCTGCCAGTGGTGGCGGAGTTCCTCATAATTTTCCCTGCACAGTTTCCTGTTGTCAGTGGTGCAGGACGGTGAGCTGACAAGGACAGTGTCTAGTCGTTCGGATGGAACGTAAAACCAAGGTCCCATGTACACGTTGGTGTGCACATAGATAAATCCGCTATAAGGCAGAAAGTGGTTTGGTTTCGACGATTCGCTTGCTTGTGCATGACAAGGAGTGGGGCTGTCTGTCAAACCTCGTCAGTTTTCTTGTGTCCTCCGGTTTCCTCCCACTGCTGATGACCCCTAAGCACTTGTGAAGTATTAAAATAAAATTTGGCCATGTTGGTGCCTATATAACCTAATTTGTGTTGACTGGAGTTAAACTGTTTGTTTTGAAACTATCTCTCTTTTTTGATGCTTGTTTTGAAAGCTTATTGGGGGGTTGGATGGCCGAATGGTTAGCACATGCGTGCTGTATCATAAAGCCTGTCATTGAGTCAACTGGCGTGATTTCGAATCCCCGGTTGTTTGTGACAAGGAGTAGGGTCGCCTGTCCAACCGCATGGGTTTTCTCCGGTTTCCTCCCACTGCTAAAGACCCTTACGCGCAAGCGAATTATTGAAATAAAATTAAACAATGTTAGTCCCAAAATGACCTAGTTTGTGACAAATGGACGTTAAACCCCATTCCTCTCTCACATTCCCGGTTACAAACTGGATGACCTAGTTTGTGTTGAATGGATGTTAAACCCCATTTCTCTCTCTGAAAGTTTATTACATGAGCTGATAACCTGTTATTTTGCAGGAAGATGATAATAAACCAAGAGGATTTGATCGAGGATTACAGCCAGAAAGAATCATAGGAGCTACCGACAGCAGTGGAGAATTAATGTTTCTCATGAAGTGGTAAATTATGTTTACAATAAAGATACATTCCCGTGTGGGGGGTGGATGGCCGAATAGTTAGCACATGGGCACGCTGTTTCATAAGGCCTGTCATTGAGTCAACTGCCGTGGTTTCGAATCTGTGGTGATACATTCACGAGTGGGGGGTTGGATGGCTGAATGGTTAGCACATGGGCACGCTGTATCATAAGGCCTGTCACTGAGTCAACTACCGTGGTTTCGAATCCCTGGTGATACATTCCCGTGTGGGGGGGGGGGGGATGACCGAATGGTTAGCACGTGCGCACGCTGTATCATAAGGCCTGTCACTGACGTGGTTTCGAATCCCCGGTGATACATTCCCGAGTGGGGGGTTGGATGGCCGAATGGTTAGCATATGCGTGCGCCGTATCATAAGACCTGTCATTGAGTCAACTGCCGTGGTTTTGAATCCCGAGTGGTACATTCCCGGGTGGGGGGTTGGATGGCCGAATGGTTAGCACGTGCGCGCTGTATCATAAGGCCTGTCAGTGAGTCAACTGGCGTTTCGAATCCCCGGTGATACATTCCTGAGTGGGGGTTGGATGGCCGAATGGTTAGCACGTGCTGTATCATAAGGCCTGTCACTGAGTCAACTGACGTGGATTAGAATCCCCGGTTGTACGTGACAAGGAGTATAATCGCCTTTCCAACCTTGTGGGTTTTCTCTGGGTCCTCCGGTTTCCTCACACTGCTAAAAGACCTCTACGCGCATGCGAATTATTGAAATAAAATTAAACAATATGTTAGTCCCGAAATGACCTAGTTTGTGTTGAATGGACGTTAAACCCCATTTCCCTCTCCCTATCACATTCCCACGTCCTAACTGGGTGATTTGATGACGTATTTGGACTAAAAACATATTCAAACTAATTTGCCTATCAAAATTTTGTTGCAAATCCTTCTCAAAACACGGTTTACGCGAGGGAATACCCAAACTATAAAAAAATCTATTAAACGAGGTAATGTCTGTGTCACGGGACTTGACTGACAAACTACAACTACCTAGCAACGGGTGTGAAGTGGAGAATTCATTGCATACACAAGACGATTGTTGTCTTTAAACGCTATCCATTTATCAAGAATATCGAAGCCTAATTAAATTCTCAGATTATCCACTGCACATTTTCCTTTTCAATGATTTTTATCTCGTCTTAACTCTTCATAAAGTTTATCAACATGTACATCAAGCGCTCAATCTCTGCGTACAGACATTCCTAATTGTCAGACTGTCGATTAGGGAAACCCTTACATTTTTGTCCTGTATGCGCTCCATGAGCTTTTTTCAGGTAATCTAGTATTTTTCTATTAAGATTGGATATTTCTTCTTTCCATATATACCAAAATTGCCATACTTTTGTTGGAAATAACCACCCGATAAATATTTTTCTGGGAACGTATCTTTAAAAACATCCTCCCATTGTTTACATTAAAAATTAGACCTGTAGGATAGCCTTGGTTAAGACTTGGTAATATTTTACAAGGGGATTGTTGCAGGATAGAACAGTGTTTTTATCAAGTTATGATTGCCATAGCAACTAAAAACTGGAAACAAATACAAATTTTTGCTAAGGTGTAAATTGTGACTAAATAGGTCAACATATTTTTCAAAACCCAAAATATGAAATTACTAGTGCTGGGTATTGCGACTGCAAATCACCAGGTTTAGGGGTACACAAACCCATCCACCTTGGGAAAACATGTACTGCGTATTTGTCAACAGCATTTAAACATACATTATGCAAGAGCTAAATCTGCCTATTGCAAGTCTTTCTATAGGCCTGAAATGTATAAACTAGCAATTTAGACATTAATTAACCAAGGTAGACGATAATCAACCCTCGATGGCATCGGTTCGCCTTCAAACATTTAATTTAAAAATTGGAAAATGTGGCCAAGTCTTGAATATACCAGTGCCCTAGTTACCACAATGCACACATCTTGTCAAAACTACAATGATAACTTGGCTTAGAATGAAGTAATTTGAATGAAATTTTCATTTTACGTTATCTATTTTCGAGCTATTATAGCAAGAATGGCCAGCTCTTTATCTAAATCTTACGTAATGTATCTTTAAGGAATATATATTAATACTTGTGTTTTTTTCTTGTTCTTTAGGAAAGACAGTGATGAGGCCGATTTAGTACCTGCACGCCAAGCAAATGTGAAATGTCCTCAAATTGTCATCGCTTTTTACGAGGAACGTCTTACGTGGCACACACACAACGATAACGATGATGACGAGAAAGGGAAAGACGACAAATAAATATTTTACGAACTTTCAAAAAGTGTAAATTAGGATTTTATAAAATGAATCGAGTCACAAATAAGATATTCATTGTTTTGACCCACCTAATATTTTCACCCTGAATGTGGACATGATATTTAAAAGAAAATAATACGCATGTCATAATTTAGCGGATGTTAAAATTTTTGAGGGTGGGTCACAAAGCAATAAGACTGGAAGAAAAAGGATGGAATGTGTGTAATGTTTGAAATTAGAGCGAGTGAGGAAATGTATGGATATCCAGTCTTGAAACCAGTCTTACCCGTTGATGAATAATACTACATATACTTTGTAAATTGAAAAATAAGTTCTGAATACTTTTTACTTTCTTTTTCTGTTTATATACATTGTACATACGTCATTTTATTTCTTAAGTCTTAAAAACTATTTTGTAACACATCACTGATTGTTGTCATTAACGAACCGACACATTTTTCTTATAATCGGTTTTGGAGAGAAAAATTCAAAATGGCCAAAAAATGTTCACATTTTAAAAGTATTATAACCAAAATGGTATTTTGATTTCATGAGGAAAAAAAAACACACGAGATCATGAATATCAATAATACCTTTAAGATTAACAATAAATGCATGCATGTGAGAAAAGTGTTTTCGTCCATCTGTGGTTTTCGAAGGATCCATGAAAGTTACTTCTGCATATTTGGAGGTTGCAGACTTGTTGCATTTAAAATATAGGAAGATGGGCATTATTTTAAGTGGTACATATTAAAATATTTAAAATCCAGATAATTTGATGTAAATAACAATTATGTCCTCTCTTTCTTTTTCTTTTTTAGTCCATTTTCATATCTGTTCAAAGAATTTGACAGAATAATAATACAATATTTTTTTTCACTTTCAATATGGTATTCGATGTTTGCTTTATTATAAAAACTTCATAATAATTTGTAATGTTGTGATATGGTCAAGAAACTGAGACTTACAGGATTTGACTTCTCATGAAAAATGATATTAATCGCCATGCTGTACTTATCGTATAATTCACATCTGCAAGTTTATTTTTTTGTCCTGGACACAACGACTGAACTTAAATACTTGTTGAATGAAAAAATCTCACCATGGTTAAAAAATGTTCCAATTTTGGCAGCTGTCATGTTCACGCCCCCTCACCTCTCCCAAAATTTGAAGTTAATGGATGTAGTTTTGTCAGTTCATCTTGATCTATTTAAACAGTAAATTTGTTGTATGTGGATCATTTATGTATATTGTCATAGTAATTAACATCATGGTAGGTTTATTACTTTAAATCGCCATGGTAATATATAGTAATGTACCTTTATTATTTGAAAATGCCATGGTAATCTAGTGATGTGGCTTTATTACTTGAAATCGCCATAGTAATTAGTAATGTAGCTTTATTACTTGAAATAACCATGGTAATATAGTAATGTAGCATTAATTACTTGAAATTGTCATATTGTACCTTTATTACTTAAAATTGCCATATAATGTACCTTAATTTGAAATCACCATGGTAATGTACCTTTGTTACTTGAAATAGCCATAGTAATTGAGTTACAAACAAAAAAGTGCTAATTATGTCATGTCTTGTAACTTCGTTAAGAATATTTCTGTGCTGTTCGTAACCTAGTCGTAATTAAAAGCTTTATCATCAGTTTTACACAGTCTCAGCCTCGCCCCTTCATCATTAGTCATCAGTTGCTATAGATATTAAAACTAGAAAATCTGATTTTTGACTAAATGAAAAGTTGGACTAAATGAGCTCAGTGGAAATTTGGTTTGATTTACACTTTTCTAACAATGAGTCGATAATTTTGAATTGAGTTAAAGCTTTTACCACTAAGAATTTTTATTTCACGAGTGCCACTGGCTTGTTTTTTGTGACAATGATTCAAGATAAAAAAAATTGAATTTTGCGACTGAGGATTTTGATTACGCAAGTGGCGATGGCTTTGATGGATACGTGCGATGTAACAGGAGTATTTTTTATCGTAGATAATCAAGTGAAATTTCTGTCTGTTGTATATTTGTCTTTATTTTGACATCATTATGGAAGATATCAAGTGTATGTGAAATAAATCTTGTCACATGTAGTCTGGTTTTATTGATTGTTTTTGTTTACGTCTGTCCGGGGGGGGGGGGTATTATTAAAATGGATTCGACAAAAGAGTTGTGTGGCCTGTCAACCTCGTTGGTTTTCTCCGGGTCCTCCGATTTCCTCCCACTGCTAAAGATCCCTACGCGCAAGCAAATTATGGACATAAAATTGAACCATGTTAGTCCCGAAAGGGCCTAGTTTGTGTCGTGTGGACGTTAAACCCCATTTCTCTCTTTCTCTTTATTCATTCTGCTTTTGTTTATGCCTGTCAGAGAGGCATGGGATTTTTAAAATGGATTCCACGAAAGAGTAGGGTGGCCATTTCAACCTCGTGGGTTTCCTCCGGGTCCTCCCACTGCTAAAGATCCCTACGCGCCATATAAGAATTCGGCCATATAAGATGAAACGAAATTTAGGTAAGCCTGGTGCGAAAAAATTGGGATATTTGAAAGAATTTGATTGTAAATTATTGTAATTTAGCTAGGCAAAGCAATAAATCACTGAAGATTCTCAACTTTTCAAAGATTTCATTTTTTTTTCTCCCAGGCTTACCTAAATTTCGTTTTATATAAGATGAAACGAAATTTAGGTAAGCCTGGTGGGAAAAAATTGGAATTTTTGAAAGAATTAGATTGTAAATTATTGTAATTTAGCTAGGCAAAGCAAAAAAACACTGAAGATTCTCAACTTTTCAAAGATTTCATTTTTTTTTCTCCCAGGCTTACCTAAATTTCTTAAATTTGTGCGTTACCCTTTCAATGATGTCCGCCAAGTCGGTTAGAAGACGGAGACGTATTTTTTAACAGCGTGTTGTGTCGCTCATACCGACTCTAGCCAGGTAAGCAAGGTCTTATTTTCTCCCTAAGATGTTCATTTATATTGTTCAGACGTTCACAGGGACTGACACGCGACCGGTTAGCGGTAAAAAGTTGCCCAGTAAAATTGACTGGGGAGCGATTAGATTTTCGACAAGAATTCAATAGGACAGTCCCTGAACGTAGAGGTCGAGTGTAATGAGACCTACGTTCAGAGCTGAACTAGCGCCGCCACTGCATACAGTGTGCTATGGGGGGAACTTTGCCAGGACAGCGACACTACGGCCTATTCGTATATCAAAGTCCAACTGCCAATGGTTCTTTTACATGCACACCAATGCGTACATGGTACCTCGGTTTATAACTCTGCATCTAATTGAGTTAAAATGTTAGAACTTTCATGGATTTTCTCCGGGTTGTCAAGATTCCCCCCACGGCTTAAGCTGTAGCACCATGGGTCTTCTGTTAGACGTGGGGAGTGGCCAATCCAAATCCGGTCGCCACATCCTACATATGACCCATGCATCTTTTCTTACTACATATCTTAGTAGCCTTGTGATCGTCTAGAATTTGTCTCTAGCTGTCTTTGCTTCTGCTTCACATTGTGTATTTTCTTCTTACTGTTTTCTTCGATGGGCGAGTCTGCTGATAGAAATTGCTACATCTTTTCCCTTCTGGAATCAAGGTGCTGTCTGGCGATTGCTCACAAATATGATAGTTTTGTAGCTTGGGTTCTGACGTTCAATTATCCAATTGGTCAAATACAGTGGCGTCGCCAGCCGTCGGTGATTGGAGGGGCAAAGTCCAAGGTTAAGGGGGCAAAGGCACGAGCTTTAACTAGGGGTAGGGGGCCTCCCCCAGAAAATTTTGAAAAACAGGTTGCCGGAAATGCAGCCTGGCAGTATTTCAGGCACTGATCGATGAGGTAAATAGATCTGACCAGATACCGTCCGTCGCCTGATCACTAGTTTATCTGACTAGAGAACAAAATGTCAAACGAACGGACTTGCGAACCTCAACGAATTCCCCTTGTGAGCGCCAAAGTAGCGAGTCCATTGGGGACCTCGCCAAGAAAATTTTGAAAAATAGACTGTCGGAAATGCTCTACAACATGCAAGTTTATGGCTGAGTGGGGATGTGGGATTTATTCACCGTAGAAGGTATTGATTACCGAAACGTATCACAAATACTTTTTTATTTTCTAAAATTATTGGGGGGGCAAACAGAGGGCAGACCAGATGCCCCCCCCCCCCCCGCCCCGGCGCCGCCACTGCCACTGGTCAAATCTAGATTTCCATTTAATATATTTCATTCTATGTTTTATTACTCGATTCATGTAATGCTTCTAGCATTCCGATATCATATTTCCATGTGAACACCTATACTAAGTCTTTCTGTTATTTATGTATTTATAATATTTATACTTATCCGGTAGCCTACCCATTCATCATACTTGTGTTGAATGTTGTGTCACTATCAGACCAGTTTGAGGTAAATATGTATTCTGAGATTATTATCATACTGTTTGTACATGTTCATATATTGTATGCTTTCCATAATGGATGTTTTGATACAATAAAATCTTATCTTATCTTATCTACACCCCGACAGCAATGACATTTCAACTGTCAAGGGTTCTTTTACAAGCACACCAATATATACACATAGGGTGACCACCTTTGCTTGATCATATTGCGGGACATCATCTTTTTTTTTTTTTTAAAAACCGAGGCAGTATGCATAACAATGTTGATTATAGTCACTTCACTTTTCGTCATAGCAACAATAGAAAATCAAACTATGAAATATTCACACAAGCCTGGTTTGTATTCGTGTGTCATATGATATTTACCATGAATCTTTTAGGATAATAATAGATAGCAACAATATAAATTCAAGTCATATAATATTCATATCTTTCATTTCAAACAAAATATACAAATTATTAATTTGTGCGACAGAACCGTTTGAAAGGGTGCGTTGGCGTTGAATTAAAGTTACAATCAAATGACTGCCGAATTATCATCCATGTACATTATTCGTATATCGCTAAAATTAGATCATGCCGAAGGTAGTGAAACGTTTTGAGATTTTATCGCTTAAGTTTAATCATGCTAAATGTTGTGAAACTGATTGAGATTTTATAATAACTTAGTATAAAGGATGTTATGCTGGTTAATGATGCATGATTTAAGAGCTGGGTGGGTTGGGTGGCCGAATGGGTAGCACGTGCGAGCTGTATCATAAGGTCTGTCATTGAGTCAACTGGCGTGGTTTCGATTCCCCGGTTGTACGTGACAAGGAGTGTCGCGGTCGCCTGTCCGACCTCGTGGGTTTTCTCTGGGTCTTCTGGTTTCCTCCCACTGCTAAAGACCCGTACGCGCAAGCGAATGATTGAAATAAAATTAAATCATGTGTAAGTCCCAAAATGACCTAGTTTGTGTCGAGTGGACTTAAAACCCATCTCTCCTTCTCTCTGGTATATTCGAGACTAAGCCCCGCTTTCCCATTTTTAAATTAAATGTTTAAATGGCGAACCGTTCTAATCTAGTTAAATCTCGAGTATCCAATGCCATCGAGGGTTGATTATGGTCTTGTTTTGTTAATAAATGTCTAATGGTTTATATAACATTTCAAGCCTAAAGAAAGGCCTGCAAAAGGCAGATTTAGCTCTTGCATAATGGATGTTTAAACTATTATTGCAAGAACTGTCAGCTCTTTATCTAAATCTTACATAATTCATCTTTTACTGTCCCTGGTTGATCATCACATACAAGATACCTTTACACAATCATCAGTTATACGTCAATAGATATATTTGAATTTTAATAATTCAAAGACGGCAAAGCGAAAGCGAATGTAATTGATACTCCATTAAACCAAGTATACATATCAAAATAAAGGAACAAGCAATTCGTTACATCCGTTCTCTTCCAGTTTTTTGGGGTTTTTTATATATATAAAATAGAAATACATAGCCTTCGGTCACGGCAAATGCCCCAGTAGTCAGCTAATGTTTTTTTTGTTTATGTGATTCATAATGTAACAAATACTATTATTTATTTAATTTTAATATTCTTTGGGTAAGAGGGTGGTTGGGTGGCCCCTTGGTTAACGCATCCATTTTAGATCATAAGTTCTGTCATTGAGTCAGGTGGCGTGGTTTCGATTCCCCGCTTGTACGTAACAAGGAATGGGGTCGCCATCTAACCTCGTCCACTGGTTTCCTCCCAAAGCTAAAGACCTTATGTGCAAGCGAATTATAGTTTGTTTCGAGTGTGCGTAAAATTCCATTTATCTTTTTCTCTCTCTCTTCTCTCTCTCCCTGGACTGATTTGACAATAATTGACTTTGGTAGTTTATTGCATAGAAAAGGTCTAGCATAGGTCAAAGCACGTTTTCCAAGTTGTAAGTTAACATTTGGAGATTTTAGAAGATGTGCTGTCTGAGAGCTGAGATTTCTACTGGTAGTCTAGGTCTTTACAATATTTTAAAAAATATAATATGTGAATTAATTATATTCATTTAATTTAATTTAATTTAATTTTCTTTGAGTATGGTGACGGTCGTGGTGTTGTCGGTTGCGCTGCTGATAGTGGTTGTAGTTGTAGTGTGGGTGTCAATGTTATATAAATTATATTCGTTGATTTTTGTCAATATTTTCCATTTCTTATGTTTATTATATTAAAATATATATTTCTTTGAGTTAAACGTAATTGAAATGTGATTTAACGCCCGAGGTGCTACGGCCTATACTCTTATATCGATTCCAACTGCCAAGGATTCTTTTGCGTCTCATCCGAATGAGTATACGTTGACCAAGGCCCTCTGTCCCGCCCCAGTGACAGGGGTGAACCACGCCGGTGGATTTTCAGAATGATGTACAGGGAAAGGTCATCTACATGTTGGTACCAAAAGACCTTCTAAACGAATTTTTGATTAGACTAATACCCAAATAGACTATAGCGGCGAGAGTAGATTCACGCATATTACTGTATAGAAATCTTCCATGTGAGCAATTGCGGGACAGTTTGGTTGGTTTTCGGGACGCGGGACTTGGAAACATTTTGCGGGACTAACCCGCGAAATGCGGGACGGGTGGTCACCCTATATACACAGGACCTTGGTTTTTAAATTTAATGCGAAGGACTAGACACGTTTTCTCGACAGACACTCGGTCATGCATCACTGACAAGAGGGGGGGGGGTGGATTTGAACTAGTATAACTCAGTATGTCAATGTCACTTCCCGACTACGTCTGCTCTTATATATCCAAAATTTCAGCTCTGGTGTGGCCGCCAACAGAGAGACAAGCAAGGCCGCCTTCGGCTGGTCCAAATGTTCGACCATAGTTCAACTAGGTCTCGGTCAAGTCAGATTAAAAATGGCGGCTCGCGACAAAACATGTGTTGTGTTGGAATTGTTAATTGAAGAGAGAACGTATACTACCAATGTTGCTCCAGAACCTGAAAGTTATTTAACTTCATATAACATATTTAAGTAGATTCCATATTATATAAAGTGGATAAACATGTTTTGTCAATCAATTCGACCAAGACTGGTGTCAGACTGAAATTGTGAAAGTGACAGTATTATAGTAAAAATATTTCATCTATTTGTGAATTTTATTTGGAAAAACAGAAACACAAACAAACGATTTTGTTTATAAATACATCAGTTTGATATACATTGTAAATATAAATTATGTAAATAAACTCTGGATATTTTGTTGGTTTGTTTATTTTTTTGTCTGGGGATAAGTCGGTCACTAACTCAACTGTGAGTAGATTTCTTGAAATCGTCGTTATCATATTCTACCTCTGGTATAGCGTTTTCAGCATAGTCTTTGGCAAACGTTTCGAGAATTTATCTCCAAAGAATGATGTGGTCATAATATATGAAAGTTCTCATTAAGCAAACTTGCGTTTTCGTTAATTAAAAGGTTTTGTAGCTGTTCATTGAAGAGAGCGGCGTCCATTTTGACGACTATGGTCGAACTAGCTTCCGTTCGGGTGTAGTGAACTATACTCTGCCGTTTAGTCGTGACCATACAAGCGCATCCGAAAGCTGCCCAGGCAGTCACAAATATTACATGGGCAAATATCAGTGGTCTGTATCCTGTTAGTGAATTGGTCGTACTTGATTCCCATTCCAAACCCCTAAAAAGCGAACTGTTCAAATGGATTACGGGATCAAAATCAATGAATAACAATGAAAATTTGTCGCTTTATTCATTTCCTAATCCTGTATTTGTCATATTCAAAAAGATTTTGTTTCAACCGTTCCTTTCTGTTAAAAGCAATCCTTCTTTTGTCTAGAGTAGAAACATACTTCCGGTGGATTGACCGCGACTCGATAATCAAGTACAGCACACAAAAATGGCGTCGTTTATGAGAAATCAAGGAGGAAATATCCTTCAAATGGATCAGTTTATGAACAACGCACCAATAAGTGCTTCTGAACGAGCGACAAGATCAGTATTCGTTGGTAATATTCCATACGAAGCCACAGAAGAACAGCTGAAAGATATTTTTATACAGGCCGGACCAGTTGTAAGCTTTAGACTCGTGTACGATCGAGAAACCGGCAAACCGAAAGGATATGGATTCTGCGAGTACCAGGATACCGAAACGGCACAGAGTGCCATGAGAAATTTAAATAATCATGACTTTAATGGTAGACCACTTCGTGTTGGGGTGGCAGCTGGAGAAAATAACAAAGAGGAAATGAAAGGGATGCAGCAAGCCTTTGGAGGGCCAGTTTTAGAAAGTCCATATGGAGATCCAGTGGAGCCAGAGAAAGCGCCAGAAGCAATTTCACAAGCTGTAGCAAGCTTACCCCCAGAACAGATGTTTGAGCTGATGAAACAGATGAAATTGTGTATTCAGAATAATCCAAATGAGGCTCGTAACATGTTGTTGGCCAATCCTCAACTTGCATATGCTCTGCTCCAGGCACAGATTGTCATGAAGATTGTGGACCCACAGGTTGCCTTGACGATGTTATACAGAGATACATCTCAGCCGGGAAATGATGTTCAGCCTGGTGGTGATGTTGGAATGACACCAAGACAAGGAGGACCAGTGCCCCTTATGGGAGGACCAGGACCGCAAATAGGAAGACCAGGACCACAGATGGGAGGTCTGGGTCCTCAGATTGGGGGACCTGGACCTCAGATTGGAGGACCAGGACCACAAGTTGGAGGGCCAGGACCACAAATGAGAGGACCACAGCCATTAATGGGAGGACCGGGGCCACAGATGGGAGTACCTGGGCCACAAATAGGAGGGCCAGGGCCACAGATGGGGGGACCTGGGCCACAGATGGGAGGACCTGGGCCACAGATGGGGGGACCTGGGCCACAAATGGGGGGACCAGGACCTCAGATGAATCGTGGTGGACCTGGGCCACATGGTGTTATGGGTGATGTACGAGGTGGATCAAGTTCAAGAGGACAAATGGGTGGCCCAGATATGGGTGGACCATTCCCCAATCAAGATTTGCATGATCCGAGAATGATGGGCGATATGCCAGCAAGAAGTATGGCGCAGGCGGCACCTAGTCGTTCCATGGCTCAAGGTTTACCAGGACTGTTGGGATCCGGAGTCCAAAACCTGGCAGGATTGGCAAATTTAACACCTGGAACACAGATATCTGCCCAAGATCAAGAAAAGGCTGCTCTTATTATGCAAGTCCTTCAACTAACTGACCAACAGATTAGTATTTTACCCCCAGAGCAAAGACAGAGTATTCTCATTCTAAAAGACCAAATTGCAAAATCTGCACAATAAAATACGGTGCTTATTCATTCATACAAGAACTTTAATCATCATTTCACATGTGTATAGAAAACAAAAAATGACGACCCAACATTCATATGAAATCGAAATAAATGGAATTTCGACAATCCAACATTTGTAAAAAAAAAATATTAAAGGGAAGGAAGACACCTGTCTCTAATTACGAATATCATCATACAAAAAAATCTGAAATTGTCCAACTCCTATTCAACTCCCAAAAGAACATTTTTTTCTCTATTTTATAAAAAAACCAATTCCATATAAAAATGTGTTCATAGCACAAATGATTCTTTTTGTTAATAAAATTACATCTGAGTAAGCCGAATGAAAAATATATTTAAAGAATTCTTGTATTGAGAAATGATTATTGTTTTTTTTCTCTGTGATTTTAGCTTAATACAAATCTTTCACTTGCAGTTTACTTTGTGTAATAAAAATCTTTGTTCTCTTCTTATGTTTGTGGTTTCGAATCCCCGTTTGTATGTGACAAGGAGTAGGGCATACTCCTCGCAGTGTTTCATTTGATTAGAGCTAATCCCATTACTCACTGCTGTAAAGAAGGAAAATTTTTGTTCTAAATTATGACTGGTCAATAGTCCGATTAACAACCAATAGCTAACTGCGTAACAATACCAAACAGAACTCCAAATATGTTTACATAACGTTACATCATGCTTCAAGATTTTATTATGCCCAGTTAACCAGTGCATAGCAGAATATTCCAGAAAAACTAATTGTGTGACAAACGAGGCTATCAGCAAGGACATAATGTAAATAATACTGTTTTGAGTCAAACAACACTTTCACCGTCTTTAATACCTTAAATCACTGTCCAAAGTTTTAGGAAAGGCCCCTGATTAAAAGATGGGCCGTCCTATTGCTGTGTTTGCTGACTGATTTGATTGAACGGGAAGAATAGACACTGTGCCTCAAACAAAAGCCCAAGTATCAGAAGCTAATCCAGCAATGGCCAGAGAGGGATTTCTCGAGCCATTGCTTCAGGAATATGGGAGTAGGGTCACCGGTCCAACCTCGTGGGTTTTCTCTGGGTCCTCCTGTTTCCTCCCACTGCTAAAGACCCCTACGCACAAGCGATTTATTGAAATAAATTTGTACCGTATGTTAGTCCCAAAATGACCTAGTTTGTGTCGAGTGGACGTTAAACCCTATCTCTCTCTCTTCTTATGTTTGAATATGTTTTATTGGATGACACCAGACAGATCTATGAGGCTGTCAGGGTTGGGTGTCCGAATTAGATTGTACAATCTGTCAATGAAATGGAGTTTAACGTCTTACTGTTCTGCTCCAACTGAGCTAATGAAGACGGGCATACGCCATACAGTGTGGCTGAGTGTGCTATGGGGGAAATTTTGCCCAGGCAGCAGCACTATGGCCTATTCTTATATCGAATACCAACTGCCAAAGGATCTTTTATGTGCTCGCCAATGTCGTATTCACGGGACCTGAGTTTTTTGTCACATCCGAACGACTAGACAGCCGTCCTTGTCAGGCCCTCCGTTCTGCACCACTGACAAGGTGAAACCAAGCCGGAAAATCCTGATGAACTTTTTCGTACAATGCAGGGATCGAACACACTGCCGAGCCAACATCTTACTCCTGTCCGTCATTGAGTCAAGTGGTGTGGTTTCGATTCCTTGCTTGAAAGTGACAAGGAGTAGGGTCGCATGTCCAACCTCATGGGTTTTCTCCAATTTCCTCCCACTGCTAAAATACCCCTACTACACAAGCAAATTACTGAAATAGAATTGAACCATATGTTAGTCCCGAAATGACCTAGTTCGTGACGAGTGGATGTTAAACCCCATTTTTCTCTCTCATGGAGACTGTTTAGTGAAAAAATTTGGGCCTACTAACAAGTGTTGATTCAGGGATTTTTTGTAGTGCCCAGAATTCCAAGTGTCACAATTCCTGGACGATATTTGGTAGACCTATGGAGACTCACCAGAACAAGGTAGTTATTTAACTACGGCGGGGACACCAAAATTTCGAAAATATGGCGGCCGCAAGCGTTTTCAAGCTTGTCCAACCCGATCCTGCAACTTGTAAGTGGTTCAATTAGCCTTATCCCACTCCTTGCCGACCTAAATTCCAATCACCCAATTAATCAGGCGGTTGCAGCAACATTCACTGGACACCTGAAATGTTACATCTCAAAAAAATAACGAAACAAATAATGATGATGTCAGAAAAGCAGAGTGACTATCCAAAAGTGACGCTTATCTTAAACACTGTTTATTACACTGATTTTAAATATTTTCAATTTCAATCCATTTGTCAAATTGCGATTCCGAAAATTTCATGAAACCTATAACGATCATATCGAAAAATGTCGCACAAAGCAGATAATAATTCAGTACACTGATTAAAAGAAATAAAAATTAGATCATAACGTAGAAGTCGTCGGACTTCTTTCACTTTATTTTGCGACTAGATGGCAAAATATTTTTTGCCACAAGAAATATAATATAACTCTATTTGATCACTTTACTCGTCTATCCAAAAAATCGGATTTCCAGAAAGTTAGGGATGGTAATGCGACTTTGCAGCATTAAAAGCGTAGGCTTATATGAAAAACGTTTCCAAAATGTATGCACTCTACTCCGTTCTGGGTCTTTCTTTGGTATTAGGTCTAAAATTTAAGGCCCACTGCAGATTTGGTCATAGGTCACGAGATGTTCACTGGGCTAGCGCTAACACTAACCTAGACCTAAACCTAACTCGTCAACAATCACGTGCCCTGGCCCTATTTACATCTCGCGACCTATGTCGAAATCTGTAGTGGATCTTAACTTTTAGACTTTACCGTCTTTCAGTATTATTTTGTGCAGGGGTGTGGTGTCGCTGGTTTTGTGCGAGGAAAAGATTCTGTGAGGGTTGAACCAAAACCCAATATTTATATAATTTTGGGCTGTGTGTGATAATATGCCAGAGCAGGGGCGGATCCAGGAATTTTTGCAGGAGGGGGTTCCTGTTAAGGAAATCTGTCATCATCGTCTCTAAATTACATATAGACATAGGCATACATACAAATTGAGCTTTTTAAAGAGAGAAATCATTTTTATAATGATGTAGGAACACATTGTGATTTAATTTCATTGATGCAAGGCATTCAATTTTTTTTATGTAGCTGAGCAGGGTGGGGTTTGGACCCCCCCCCCCCCTCTGGATCCGCCCCTGCAGAGTCGATATGTAGATATGCCAAATTTAAAATATTTAATTTAAAAATTATTGAAGAACTTTCAGTTAGTTCATCATTCTTTTTTTGTCTTTTGATACTGTTACCGGTTTTGTCGTAATTAATACTGACGTGTATAAAAGCTTAGAAAAACTCTATTCACGCGCTTGGCGATTGTTTGTGGTTGATTATTGCTTATATTTCGAATTACAAATGTATGGGGACACCAAAATCTTTTAAGTGATTTGCGCCTCAATCCGAAGCTGAGAGGAGCTAATTGTAGACTAAGTTTAGTAACAATAGTATACACCGTGTCCTTGCCCCCCCCCCCCCCACACACACACACACACGCGCGCACACACACGCACACACAAGGCACTGAGACATACGGTGGTGAATTTTATCTCAATGAAGTTCATTTCAGATCGCAGTAGGCTGTGATATTCTATCGAATCCTAGTACAAAAATTTATCACATACAGTTAACCGTGGATTAAAGATACATTATGGGAGATATAAATAGAGAGCTGGCAGTTCTCACTATAATAGTTAAAAACTAGATAGGCCTTGCCTCGATCATCATTACAAAAGTCGGTACCATAAAAACAAATTTTTGGATTAAATCACCAATGAGCGTTGAGCAGCAAATCGGATTCAAATCCAGTAAATATCGCAGGCTAGCGATGACATCAAGAGTTGATTATGGTCTGGATAAGTTATTTAATGTCTAATAATTTAGATAAAATTTCATACCTAAAGAAAGACATGCAATAGGCAGATCTAGCTCTTGCATAATGTATGTTTAACTGTGGATGAAGTCGATGAATTGTCGTAGTTTTTGAAATGACGTATAAGAACCCTTACCTCTCAAGAGATAATTAGCCGAACCTGCCAAACTAAGACAACGATTTATTTTTTTAGATATACACACCCATTGTGCACACAGAGAACTATCTACTTTCAAAACAGATCGGGGGATCACGTGGCTAAGTGGGTAAGACGCTGGCTCGCTAGCCTGGAGGTCGGGTGTTCGATCCTTGCATTAGCAGAGAAAGTTCATCCAGGTTTTCCGGCGTGGTTTCCCCTAATTGTCACTGATGCAGGACGGAGGGCCTGACAAGGACAGCTGTCTAGTCGTTCGGATGGGACGGAAAAACGATTTCCGTGTACATATTGGCGTGCACGTAAAAGATCCCTTGGCAGTTGGAATTCGATATAAGAGTAGGCCGTACTGTCGCTGTCCGGGCAAAATTTCCCTCATAGCACACTGTATGGCGTATGCCCGTCTTCATTAGCCCAGTATAGGAGCAGAACAGTAGGACGTTAAACCCCATTTCATTTCATTTCATAACAGATCTCTTTGTATTATATATATAGAGAGAGAATCTCCTACCAGTCTTTTTTGATATCAAAAAATATCAACACAAGTTGATAAAGTAGAGCCTCGTTTTTTTTTACTTTATCAACGAGTGTTGATATTTTTTGATATCAAAAAAGACGAGTAGGAGATTTTATTTATCACCCAATCCCTTCTTACATGCACAAATAGATAAATATAATTCTTTGCTGTAGATTTCACTTTTACTGAACATTACGGCGTAGTGATACATCATTTTTTGACAGCAATTCAACCATTGCAATGTCATTTATATTGACCCAGTGTTTCCATCAAGGTCAATTGAATAACAATAGTTCATTTTTAATATAAAAAAAGTTACTTCTAATAAGAAATGAACTGTCCTTTGAAAATAAAAAAAAGTAGTTCTTTTTCAACTGACCAATCAAATTCATGTAAAGCGATATCTCCTAAGCGGTAGATTATGAAATATATCACACAAGCGATATCTACTGTAGAATGTATTATTGGGTGATAAATTGTGGTTCTAAGCCGTTTTACACCTTTCAAACACACAAAGACTAGATCAACATTTTCTATTTTATTAAATGGGAGCCAAATAAATTCTCCTCAAAATGTTCGATGTAATACTCAGTGTTTTCGATAAAAATCGTCGATTTCGGAAGCAAAATGTCGGTCAATCAATCGGTTTTACGTGTCTTTCTCAAGTTAGTTTCAGTAACGCTTTGTTTATAACAGCTTTTTATATGTATTCATTTAAAGCTTCCTTTTGACTGTAAATATTTAAGGGTTTATCACAGGATTACGAATCAGTTCATTTCATTGTTTTGATCTAGTTCTTGCTATAATATATATATTTATGGCTTCCTTTTACTGTCTGAATACTTAGGGTTTTATGTTATCATTTGCGAGAGAGAGAGAGAGAGAGAGAGAGAGAGAGAGAGATGGGGTTTAACGTCCACTTGACACAAACTAGGTCATTTCGGGACTAACGTGTGGTTCAATTTTATTTTAACAATTCGCTTTCGCGTAGGGGTCTTTAGTGGGAGGACCGGAGGACCCGGAGAAACCCCACGAGGTTGGACAGGCGACGATACTCCTTGTCACGTACAACCGTGGAATTGAAACCACGCCAACTGACTCAATGACAGACCTTATGACTATGATACAGCGCACACGTGCTAACCATTCGGCCATTCGGCCACCCAACCCCTTGCTTGACGAAAACGAGACGAGAGTATTACATAGAGCAAGTGTATATTTCATATTAGTCGACATTTTATATTTCTTATCGTCATAGTAATAATGTATTTTGCATTTTACTTATTTATTATTATGCACTGAATATTATTATAAGACTCACTTACACTGTATATACCAGCACCCGTAATAAATGTCAGTCAAGTCTTAAAAGTATTCCTTTCCCTTAGTTTTTAGACGCTCCAGTGCCAACATCCCCCCCACCCCAACGACAACGTATCCGTATTGCTGTGGAACAAATGTTTCCCCGTTGTGCATTTTCGGAAGACAGTTAATATAGTCTATTATAATAAATCCCCCGAGGGGCCACAGATTATCAAGGTATCCTCGTTGTTTAAGGACGAATAAATGATCGCAAAAAAAAAAACAACAAAAAAAAAAAACATTCGCACATAAATAGTTTTTAGTGAGCGTAACTTTTGTATATTGTTAAAGTGGCATTTAGTACCTGGATGAGAATAACACATGACACAATTATATGGAATACAAGTTACTTGAAGAGTTTATTCAACGACGTTTCGACGAGGGTTCTCCCGTCTTTATCAAGCAAATAAACTTTTCAAGTAACTTGTATTCCATATAATTGTGTCATGTGTTAACTTTTGTATGATACAATGCCAAACTGTGATTTTGTAAATGACCATATGTCCACTATATAATCACAAAGCTTTGTTTGTGACATAAACTTGTTACATAACGTAATTAAAACCTGATTCTGTGTCTGATTAATTCTGACATTATTACCTTCTTTTCTAAAATAAAAACATAATATAAAAAAATGGACGGAGATTTGTGTCTGAATCTCTTGATATATATTTTATGATTGTGTGTTTTTCATCATTTTTAAAACATCAATCTTGGGGGAAATATACATTTTGAAACACGAAAAAAGAGAACTATTAAAATACGGAATCTATTTATAATGGGAGAGAGGGATGAGGTTTAACGTCCACTCGGCACAAACTAGATCATTTCGGGACTAACATACGGTTCAATTTTATTTCAATAATTTGTTTGCGCGTAGGGGTCTTTAGCAGTGGGGGGAAACCGGAGGACCCGGAGTAAACCCACGAGGTATACCGGGAATCGAAACCACGCCAGTTGACACAATGGCAGACCTTATGATACAGCGCGCACACGCTAACCATTCGGCCATCCACTCGCCTTTTATCATAGGACTATCGGCTATCCATTTAAATGCTACCCTGTTAAATTTGTTAAAATACGAGACCTATTTGTCCATAGGACTTATTAGCTTATCCATCTAATTGCTACCCTGTAAGAATATGGAACCTATTTTGTCATCAGCTATCCATCTAAATGCTATAACCCTGTTAAAATACGGAACCAATTTTTTCATAGGACTTATCGGCTATCCATCTAAATGCTCTAACCCTGTAAAAATACAGAACATATTTGTTCACAGTACTTATCAGCTATCCATCTAAATGCTACGTCTATAAAAATATGGAATCTATTTTGCCCTCTTATTATTTGATTACCTGGTCGAAGTGTTTTTCTCCAAAAATACATGGTCGGAGGGGGGGGGGGTAAATAAACGTAAAAACCGTGTTGTGTGTGAAATAACTTTATTTAAATATTATAAACATGTAACGGTAAATCTCCTTGATCTTTGGTGTCCCAGAATAACTTGCGGTCTGAAAGTCGGGTGGGGGGGGGATATGTACAGAGAAACTTGGGGTTATTCTTCTGAAAGTTTTTCTTTAAACCTGTAACGAGTTATTCTTCCAGGGTAGGGTTTTTTTCCATAAGAAAACATGATATACGGTTTTTCTTGCGGGAATTCTGGGATATTCTCATCTTGCGTATACGTGTAAACAGACGGTTTATAAGCAAGATATAAAGTCCTCGACTTCGGTTATGCTGGGGAAGAAAGACTTCAGAAAAAAAAACCCTCGACAGAAAAACCTCGGGTTCATCCAGTCTTTCTTTCCCCAGCATAACCTCAGTCTTGTGCTTTATCTCGGGTTTTTTTCTTCAGTCTTTCTTTCCCCAGCATAACCCCAGTCCCGTGCTTTATCCTACACATAACGTCCGCTTTCACCGAAGTTATAAAATACGGAATCTATTTATCATGTAAGATAAATGATATTTCATGTTGCATGCTGCATATTATTCCCGAGGCTTCCCGACGTGGTTTCCCCTTGTCAGTGGTGCAGGATGGAGGGTCTGAAAAGGACAGCTGTCTAGTCGTTCGGGTGGGACAAAAAAACGAGGTCCCGTGTATACATTGGCATGCATGTAAACGATCCCTTGGCAGTTGGAATTCGATATAAGAGTAGGCTATTGTGCCGCTGCCCGGGCAAATGTCCCTTATAGCACACTATGTATGGCGTATGCCCGTCTTCATTAGCCTAATCGGAGCAGAACAGTGGGATGTTAAACCCCATTTCATTTCATTTCTTTTCCCGAGGCTTAAGTTTTGAAATTTGGGCAGCAGCGGGTCCAAAGTGGAGAAAACGTCAAGATCCCGGGGATTACCTGCGAATTTGGTAAAATCCAAACCTCCGAGACAAGATTTCTGTTCATGTAGGCTATTTTGTATAGGGTTAGAGTGGTAAAGTAAAGGTAAGGTAAAGCAAATAAAAGAAAGTATATGGAGTGGGGCCAAACGGCAGCAATAAGATGCCCCGCACGTAAATTTTTAGTTTGATGAATGTATTAGGATACAATTAAGTACTCCACGTTAGCAGGAGTTGACCCCGGTCACCACTAAATCTCCACCTGCACGCCATAGACTGTATGGTCACTTTTTTTGTCCAAACCTGTACCGAATTAAAGCCGGGCTTGCACCTGCTAAATATCCCCCCCCCCCCCCCAAAAAAAAAAAAAAAAAAAAAATTAAAAAAATCGAATATTTATACGGTGTATATGTACACGATTCACACACACAAGACAAATTAATATTGAATTTCTTTGCTTTACGTTTCTGAATGCCATTTCAATTTCTCTTATCTCAACTTTGAAATAGTTTAAAACAAAGAAGTCAATACTTCAGACTAAACACAAAATGACAAAAGATGAAAGAACCGTCAAAGATTATAGATTTTATTATTATACAAGATCAATGACAAAACAGGACAAAGGAATTTCTTGCACTGTGCCCCTTTGTTCTTGCTTGTTCCCCGTGGCGATCAATTTATCCCGAAGCCATGTGTTTAGCTTAGAGGTGTTGACATTTGATAAGCTGGCCGTCGCTAATCCAGCCGCTAATGGATAATTATTAAGCTTATCCACTCTCTAATTTCATTGGTTGAAATTTGAGAATTCTGCGGGAGAAAATGGCCAATCTGAGCGGTCTTTTGCTTTATGTCTGGGTATTCGAGATACATATTTCCGGGAATTAATTAGATCACGTGACATAGCTTGATAAAACGCCACGCTTCTCTTTCAAAATCTAAAGTAGGTCAGGAATTTGGAAGCAACAAGATCTCAAATAATTAAACATGCCTGAAGTAAGTAAACCGTTATCTTATGCTTTATTTTGATGTATAATATCTCACTGCATTGATTGGAATGGTTTGTTTTACTAAAATGTTTTCAAAATTAGTAAAAATAGGATTTTTCCTAATGCATTACCAAACGCGCACTTGTCCCAGTAGGCAGCCATTTTAGTTTTAGCCGGTACATTGAAAATATTTGGTTTCTTTGTTCTCTGCCATTAAACTAGCACGTGTTGGTTAGATTTTGATATATTTGTACAAAATGAATGTTTCATCAGCGCCCCATAGTTTACAAAAATATTTTGTTGGCGTAATTTCATCTGTTTTATCAAGGTAAAGTAACGAGACAAAACGGGGGAATGAAAAACAACGCCGCGTGTGAATCGAGTGACAATGGCCATGCGTCGTGATAGTCGTTGGTTGGGGGGAGGACAATCGGTGCCAGATCGTATAAATTTTTATGTATAACGTTGAATAATGTATCGTACTGCATGCCCTCGGATCAATCACGATATCAGCGGTTGAACACTTTAAAACTAAATTAAATTGGTAATAAAAACAATTGGCCAGCCACTACCAAACTGGAGTGACCTACTTTGCCCGTTCGGCACAGCTACTCGAATCTTCTCGGAATTTTACTTTAGCACCTGTGTAAGTCGGAGAACAGAAAAAGTTCTGCTGGATTGCAGTATCAATTGTGCATTTAAAAAAAACTTGTATCTAATTCTTTTTTTTTTCAGTTTGGAATGCGCCGTGGGGGTGGCAGAGGAGGCCGTGGTGGTGGTGGCAGAGGAGGGGGTGGGCGAGATGACTACCTTGACCCCGAATCTGAACAGTTCCGTAAATTATTTATTGGTGGCCTTAGCTACGAAACTTTAGAAGATGGTCTAAAGGGACATTTTGAACAGTGGGGTGAAATCGTTGATTGTGTCGTGATGAAAGATCCCAACACAAAAAGGTAGGTGTGCTCAAAAATAGTTTAAAAATTTCAAATATTCCTCGTCTTAATATGAGGTTGTTTATCAAACATGCCTCGAGCAAAATTGTAGGTAGTAAAATGAATGACAAAATTATGTCTACAAAGCATCAACTTCTCAACTCTGTAGGCATAAGAAATCATTGAACAATATATGTATTTTAAAGCGATCCCAAGTTTCGCGCTAATGTTGATCAAAATTGAATTCGTTGAATTTTAATTTCAACACTTATTTGATATCTTTACTGATTTCAGGTCTCGTGGTTTTGGTTTTGTCACATTTAAAGAATCCTCCATGTTAGATGAAGCTCAGAAAAACAGACCACACACAATAGATGGACGTGAAGTTGAATCCAAGCGAGCCATGCCCAGAGCTGTAAGTAAATTGCTTTATTCTACAAGATCTTGGTAGCCTTGAAATCCCAGCTTCATATTTAGTGAACCAATACAGCCGAATGGTACCTGAATCCTATATAAATCTTAGTATTGAAACCTAGAGATATTGCCAGGTTCTGATTCAGATCATGCATAGTACTGTTAGTGTCTCATTTTGTCTTTAATCAGTATTTGTAATACAGAGAGAGATGCGGTTTAGCATCCACTACACAAACTGGGTCATTTTTGGGACTAACATGGTTCAATTTTATTTTAATAAATTCGCTTACACTTATGTGTCTTTAGCAGTGGGGGGAAACTGGCGGACCCGAAGAAAACCCAGAATGTTGTACATTTGTTGTGTCATTTCTATGTTCGGTGCTAATTTCTGAACATCTTTCTATTTTAATTACATGCATGATGATTATTTTAATGTTTTTTTTCACCCTGTAGGAATCTGGTCGTTCAGAATCTCAGCAATCTGTAAAGAAGATGTTTATTGGTGGAATGAAGGATGACACCACAGATGATCAGATTCGTGATGTTTTCAGTCCGTTTGGTCAAATTGAATCCATTGACATCATCAAGGACAAAGCTACAGGAAAACCCAAGGGATTCGCCTTTGTTACCTTTGATGATTATGATACAGTTGACAAATGTGTTTGTGAGTATTATTTATCCCATTTAGGTATTTGAATGCTTGAACGACAAGTCATCTGATGTGTATGAAATTTGTATGCATTATTTAAATTAGGCTGAACTCAAAATTTATATCCTTTATTTAGATCAGTGAAACTAAACCACTGTCGAACTCGAATGATCGATGTACGAAATTTATAATAAATATGCATTATTTAGATTAGTGAAACGTAAAAGGCTGTCGAACTTCAACAATTTTTGTCCCAGAGTTAAAGCCCTTGTTTCAATTTGTAGCACCTTGTGAACGCTCAAAGGACAAAAATTATAATCTGATCTGTATGAAATTGTCTTGTAAATTCCCTACATTGCCTTCAAAAGATTAAACATGTGACAACCTGTCTTGACCGCTCGGACAATTTAGGTGCTGTGAGTGTTTTGTTGCCTGGCAACCTATCTAATAATGTTGATCGTTATTTCAGTAATCAGCAAACATGATTTAAATGGAAAGAAAGTTGATGTAAAGAAAGCACAAGCTAAAGATGGCGGTCGAGGTGGTGGTCGCGGAGGTGGTCGAGGCGGGGGACGTGGTGATTATGGTGGTGGTAGCCAGAGTTATGGCGGAGGCGGTGGTTACGGAGGAGGATCCGGAGGTGGATACGGAGGTAAGTTATATACATCTGGAATCTCGGAATCTGTGAATTTAAAAAAAAAAAAACTTTAGTAATCTGTTATGAATTTGTCAGTAGAGAAAGTGATTGTACATGTTAAATTGGAAACTTTATAAATTATAATCATTAATTTTATATAAGAATTGTTTGGGTAGATATTTTCCACGTTCCAGACGTCTGGATAGAATTTGGTTTTAAACATCTGTATTTGAAGAAACATGATGTTGTTTGGTTACATGTGTTTAAATGTTTATGCAGGTGGTGGTTATGGAGGTCAGAGCGGTGGAGGCTACGGAGGTGGCGGCTATGGAGGCGGTGGCTGGGGAAACCAGGGAGGAGGTTATGACAGCTCCTATGGAGGTGGATACAACCAAGGAGGTGGCGGTGGAAACTGGGGAGGTGATAGTGGTTTCGGCTCCGGATATGGAGGCAGTTATGGCGGTGGAGCCATGAAGGGTGGAAATTATTCACAGAGAGATACAGGACCTTACGGATGTGAGTATTTATCTTTCGATAGATTTCAAGCGACACAAGTAAAAATATTCCAAACAATACTAATGTCATTTATATAGTGCCAAATCCACAAGACCTGTCCATAGCACATTGGCTCCATTTATGTAATGTATTTTGAAAGGTAGTTTTAACAATCAACTAAGTTCGCCCATAGTTGAATTTAATCTTTCCGCATTGTCAACAGATAAAATTGGGAGCTCCAAACTTAATCGCCTTATTAAATTTTTAATTGTAGCTGGTTACGGTAGTCAAGGTGGTAACTATGGCGCTGGTGGCGGTAGTGGTTACGGAGGTGGATACAGCCGTCATTAAACATCATTTCATTCAACAGGCTTCATTTTTACAGGTATGTCGAACCTCTCATGGTACAAATAAAAAACAAAATTTTGAGTAAGATCTCGAATAATAAGTATGCTATGATTTATAAGAAAAAGTTAGAAAATATTTTGTTAAAAGAAAATGAGTTTTGTTATATAGATTTTAATACCTGCTTGAATTTTCTTTACAACTTTAGGTAGGCTATAAATAAAACACAATCCAGATTAGTGAAAAAGACAGCTTTAGTTGTGTAGTGTTTCCAAGAAGAATTTAGTTCCCTTTTTTCTAAGGACAGGCAGGATTATTTCCCTTTGAATATGTATCATATGCAGCAGGATAACCTTTCTTTGAATAGAGAAGCAGAATGAGATTAGTGAAGAATTGTGAATAGCGACAGTTTAGGGATAAGTTACCTCCCTTTAATAAGAGAAATAGCCGCCGAGTTGAACAGGTTTTCTTGTGATCGAGAGAATAAATTCAATCTTGCGATTCCTACCAGAAGTCGTCGTCATGTAAATAGACAAGAATCAAGTGTGAAAACTATCGACCATTTGTATAATCGTGTTTTTTTTTTTTAAAAGAAAATAATTTGTTAAATTTCTATTTCTTGTGTTGAAGATTCCCCGATTGAAATAAAAGAAACAAATTATTTAGACAATTTTAAAAAAGCCTTTCTCTCAAAAAAAGAGCCAGTGCTACTTTCATTTTTGTATCATTTATTTGTGATTTTATGTCATTGTGTATTTATTTTGTTGCATTGTAATATCACACATCAAAATAAAAACAGAAGAATTTTAGGAGACTGTTGTATTGTAGCATTTCATTCTCGTTGCCATTGGTTCCCTAAAAAATTGAAATTCAGATTCCTTCTAGAATTGCATGTGAAAGAGTAAAACAGCTTTGAAAAATACTGATTCCTTAAAATATAGAATGGGATTTTTAAGGACTTCCACAAGCTGAAAATGTGTAATGTCAATTAGAAAATTCAGATTCCATTAAAAAAAATTGGAACTTACACCATGACTTGAACATGTGTAGTAGTGTCCAGTTGAAAATTCTAATTCCTTCCTTAAATAATAGAATTTAGTTACAGAATTTGAAAATAGATCAGGAATATCAAGTTGAAATTCAAATTCCTTGAAAATATAAGGAATTTCATGTAAAAATGCAGAATTCCAAGAATTGCTGAAAATGTGTAATGTCAATTAGAAAATTCAGATTCCATAAAAAAAAAATTGGAACTTACACCATGACTTGAACATGTGTAGTGTCCAGTTGAAAATTCTAATTCCTTCCTTAAATAATAGAATTAGTTACAGAATTTGAAAATAGATCAGGAATATCAAGTTGAAATTCAAATTCCTTGAAAATATAAGGAATTTCAAGTAAAAATGCAGAATTCCTAGAATCGCACGTTGAAACTGAAAATTTTAAAACAAGATATAAGATATTGAGAAATTTAAGATTTTCGTTAGTAAATATCTTGACTTTTGTTTGAGATCAACATTTTAAATGTCCCTTTTGGTGTTTTTTATGTATGGGGTAAATGTAGGGCATGGGATTAGCAAATATAACGCTTGGTGTTGTGTACAAAGGGTTTCATATTTGGGGAGTTAACTGATAATTCTTTTGTTTTAAAATAATTAAAAGCTCTTGTGTAAGTATGTAGGTAATTTTTAATGTCACCTAAGATCTGGAGAGACATCAGAATGTAGGGCAGTGAGATAAGTTGAGAGGACTTCGTTATTGGTTAGGTGAGAGGAGTTCGTTATTGGACATATGTCCACTGTATGGTTAGGACAGTTAGGTGATAAGTTCCATATATAGATGTAAGGTAAGCAGGGAGTTTACTCCAAAATTCACTTTGACTTTCATATTTGAAATAAGAATATTTTTAGCCTCAAGAAAGGAGTAAGATAAAAAGATTAAGAAATCTATTGAACTGTTTGTTTGCTTTTTAGATTAGTGGATATAGGTATGCTTATTTTTTAAACATTCTTAATTTTGTTGTTTTATAGAATAACTTTGGTTTGTTTCCTCATGGAGAATCGGAATGAAAATTCGAATTGAAGAGGCTTCCAGAATAGTGTGAGAGGTAAAATGAATATTAATTCTCGTGTACATTCTATAATAATGTGATCCTGTAATTGAATGGTTAGTGTGTGTGCACGCTGTATCATGACACGATTAGATTCCCCGGTTGTACACAAAGAGTAGGGTTGCCCGTCCAACCTCATGGGTTTTCTCTGGGTCCTCCGGTTTCCTCCCACTGCTAAAGACCCCATTTCTCTCTACATTTGACTGAGAAAGTTGCTCTGGGTTTTCGGCACTAGAAATTGGAGGTTCTGGCAAAGAAATGTCTAGTTCTTTGTATAGGAAGAAAAATCAAGGTCATGTGTGTGGACATTGGCGTTAATGTAAAAGACCCCAAGATTAGACTAGCATTAGCAGAACCCTATTTAATATTATAGCTAATGGGATTCAGGTGCCATGGTTAGGTGATAATGGATGCCCAAAGTAATTGATCCCTGTTCACCTGATCCAGGGCCTCAACAAATGAAAAGGTTAATATCTTTTGAAATTAGTTTAGAATTTGGTTAATTCTGTGTAATGGATATATTTCCTCAGATTGTCTCCAAACAGTAACAAATTGAAATTTTATGACTATATTTGGGTAGATAATCTAATCTTTAAGTTGCATTTAGCGATTGGGAAACACAATAACAGAACACAGTTTTTATGGGATACAATCACTGGTTTATTAGATCTAATTTACTTAAAGAATTAAATTGTTATTTTAGTTTGGTAAATGGAAAGAGAGAAGGATGGTAGATGGAGAGAGGATGTTCTTCATGGATCATTAGGAAGTCAGCCCCCTCACTGCTAGCTGCTTAACCAGGTATGTTTTCTTTAATTTACAGTTTTCTCTGTGACAGCAACACACAAGGCAATTATCTATTTATTCACCAATATGACCAGTGAATGATATAGGCCAGTTATCCAAATGAAATTGTCATGTGTTGGTCCCGAAATGACATTTTGTGCTATATGGATGTTAAAAGCCCATCCCTCTGGCTGTGCCAACAAAGAATATATTATGCTAACATGTGTGGTGGCATTGGTTAAAATTTGTGTTTACCCTTTTTTTTTTTTTTTTTTACAGGTGTGACTTCGATCAGGAAGGAAATGGTTTTAGACAAATGCAAGTGGTACTCAGTGGACCTTAATCGATAATGCAAAATCCTGATGTGATGAGATTAATAAAATTATTTTAAAAAATGATTTGTGATTTTTTTATGTAGTTAGTTGAATATTAAATTGATAAAAAACTGACTACTACCTGCTGCTTAACGTGATATTTATGCTGTTTTGTGACTGTCAGTTCGGGGTTGGTGGCTACACTTGGGCTGTCCTGAGTCTGTAAATTGGGGTAGGTTGGACCGGGGAGTACCATAGATCTAGGGTTAGACTCTATTGATAAAGCCAGCCGACTCAAGTTACGCCAAAGATCACGAGATTTAAGCGGTGCTAACACTGGACCAAACCCTTATGCTTACCCAAGCCCTAACCTACAATCTCGCCAACATTCACGTGTCCCAATCTTATTTAAATCTCGGCGACCTTAACCAAAATTGGGCTGGACTGGCCTTGGATAGATTTAGCCGTGGGGATGGCTTAAGACTATTTCCGGTCAATGGCTATACACCTTTGGTTATATAAAAAAAACAAACGTGAATTCAATCTTTCTTGAAAGGATACTGAATGTTATGAATTCATATCTCAAATAGGAATTGAATCTTCTCTCAAATTATCGGGGGAATAAGTCATTACAAATATGTTCTGATTTCGAATTCGGGATATATCCTTGTCAATGGTGTAGGATCAGGGCCGACGGAAGCAATTCTTGATTTGGGGGGGGGGGGCAAATCCGCCAGACCTGAGGATTAGCATGTGGCTAGGCACAACATAGATGGGACGAAAAACCAATGGATCTAAATAAAGCCTAGGCAATTTGAATTAAAAGTAGGCCATGGGGGTCGCTGCCCTGACGAAATTTTCCACGGCACCATGTATAACATGTGTCCGTCTTCATTAGCCCATAAGCAATAGGACATTAAACCCAGTTCATTTCCAAAGGTATCCTTATCCCCTGAGGGGGATCACATGGCTAAGAGGGTAAGACGCTGGCTTGCTAGCCTGGAGGTCGGGTGTTCGATCCCTGCATTGGCCGAGAAAGTTCATCCAGATTTTCCGGCGTGGTTCCCCCTTGTCAGTGATGCAGGACGGAGGGCCTGACAAGGACAGCAGTCTAGTCGTTCGGATGGGACAAAAAACCGAGGTCCCGTGTATATATTGGAATGCACGTAAAAGATCCCCTGGCAGTTGGAATTCGATATAAGAGTAGGTGATAGTGCCGCTGCCCGGGCAAAATTTTCTCATAGCACACTGTATGGCGTATGCCCGTCTTCATTAGCCCAATATAGGAGCAGAACAGTAGGACGTTAAACCCCATTTCATTTCATTTTCTTATCCCCTAAAGTGTAAGAACCCTATCTCTAATCTATAGTATGGCCTTGAGATTGGAAACCGGTGTGTGGTTTCAATTCCTTTCCCCATTGTACCTAGCAAGGGGTTTGGGATTTCTATGGTTTCTTCCAACTGCTCAAGCCCTCAACACACGAGCATAGACCATAGAATAGATAGTTCCGGGGTGCAATGTAAGCGAATTATTGAAATAAACGACCTAGTTTGTGTCCAATAAAAGCCCCAGTCCAGTCGGAGTAGGCCGTTGAACCCTATTTGTCCAGTGTCTTCATTAGCCCGGGGGGGGGGGGGGGATTGTGCGGCTGCATGGTTAGTGTGTGCACATTGTATCATAAGGTCTGCCATTGAGTCAACTGGCATGGTTTCGATTCCCTGGGCGACCTTCGGTTGCACGGATTTTCGTACTATGGTCGAACCATCTGCATGCGAATGACATTTAGTTCAACCAGTGGTCGTGACCAGCCGTACAATGCGATAAAGCACGGTCGGGATAGTTCAAAGATGACTGACAAAGCTGACACTTGAAAATATTTTCTGAAAAATATAATAAAATTGTCGGTTGCCGTTGCGTTATTTAGACCTTGGTCGGTATTATAGGGCCCATGTTAACGCCTGAAAGTTAGTGAATGGGCATTGTATAAGTATAGATGTTAAATATGATTTTCTTTTTCGTCTTTTTTGATGAATTTGACAGATTAGGATCTTCTTATTCGAATATATATAGGCACACGACAACAAAACTGAACGTGTGAAATGATTTGGTTGGATGACATAATTCCAATGAAAAATATTCTGATATTGACTAATCCTATTTGTAACCTATTTTAATCTTGCTTTCACATCGCAGTATGGAAAATTAACCAGTTTTTAAAAATACATGAGTAAATAGGAGAAAATATAGCAGGCGGAACAACTGACTTGGTCGCCACCATATTGAATAGTGAATGGCTAGGACCATTCGCGTTTGGATGCTGGTTCAGACTGTAGTCGCGACCATAGTCTACATCCGAAGGTCGCCGGGGATGTACGTGACGAGGACTAGGGTCGCATGTCCAACCTCGTGGGTTTCCTCTCACTGCTAAAGACCCCTACATATTTTCAAGGTGGAATTTGCACTTTTCAACAGATAAACAAACATGGCCATAAATAAACCAGCCAATAAATTATCTACAGGTGTAGGGCTACGGGCGGTGGCAGGTAAATTTATCTACAGTAAAAGTGCAAATTATATATTTATCATAAGATAAATGTC